CTCTGGTCCACAAACAGAATGCAAAAACATCCTGAGTGTTTCTGGTTTGAATGCCTCGTCTTTCCGTGATAAGCAGAGCCAGGAGGGAACAACGTTCTGGTCCTCCAGAAACATGGGTACCAGCCATGAGGTCCTAACCTGGGTTGCAGACAGTAATGATCTAGACCCATGGGTGGAGCTGGAGATAAGTGATCGAAGCACTATCACAGGTAAATAAAAATAATATCATTTTTTATTTTATTTTGCAAAACATGCTGATTTTTTTAAGAGTGTTTATGCTGTGTTAAAGGATAGGTCAGGTGTTATTCTGGATATATTTTATTGTCAATAAATCCTTCTACATTAGTGAATGGATCAGAACAGATAACAAGTATTGTATTCTTATTTTAAAAAGGGTTATTTCTCTTTGCCACTGACCTCCATTGTTGTCCAAAAGCTATGACTACACATCAGTGAGTGAAAGTTGTACTGGTTGGCATTTGAGTGTAGAGAGGTCAAACAGTACAGACAGGTGGCCCCACACATCTTGGTCTGTTTAAGAGATTATTTGAAAGAGAGAAACTGAAACACAATTTACTCAGATAATATTGAAATTGTTTATCAGTTTGTTTATTCAGATATTTACTTCAGTATTATGTGAAACTATCATCAAATGTTGAGTGACAAACTAAAAACAGTGTTCTCTTTTGTTTCAGGAATAATTACAATAGGATCAAATGAGTACTACATCGAGTCCTTCATTCTTTTCTTCAGCAAGGAAAGAAAAAATTGGAAGCTTTACAAAGGCGCCCTCAGCAAAGAAAAAAAGGTGCTCATTGTTCTGCATTCACTGATGTTAGCTTTTTGGTTCTTATTCAGTCAAAAAGAAAAGGGGCCTTTCTCAAACTACTCCCTACACCCTCTCCATGCACACACCCCTCCCTTTGTTTCACTGAGGGCAGTCCAGAACATCTGACGGTGAAGTGAGAGTGGCTTGTTAAACCCTCCAATAACGAGGCTGCATGATGATGGCTTATAGAACAGGTCTATGTTAGATTGGATGGTATTAATAACCAAAGCAATACAAAATAAGAAAACAAACAATTAAATAAAACACTTAATGAAGCATATTTATTAATCAAACCAAACTGAATGCTGACATTAGCTGATAAACATATCAAATAAAAAAACAACCCAAATATTCAAATAATGGAAAAATAAAGGAGTTTCACCTTATTGTTGAGTGAGGAAGTGACGCTCCCTCACAGTGTAACACACCATTGTTGTCATGGGAGACGCTCCATACATAAAAATTCTGCGTTATCAGCGGAACAAATGTACACGCCTTCTGAAAATATAAAAATAGTCCAAGTATATAAATATGTAAATTAAAAAAGTGAATATTATACTTGTTATTTTTCTAGTCTTAAAAAACAGTTCATGTGTTTATTTGACAGTGAAGTGTTTTGTTTACAGGGAGAAACTGAGCATTTGATAAACATCAGATTGAAATTATGTTAAAATTAGAAACCCCACCAAATATGTCTGCTTGATATTTATTTAGACAACTTATTATTTGAGTTACATAAAATCATGGTTGTCTAAAGTTCCTGTTTCCATGGGAATGAGGGGAGTTCTTCCCAAACCTTAACGAAGGCTACTACATTCAGCTGAGGGCGTGATGTCAGACGTTAAATCGGTGCTGGAGTGTGAGTGGAGAGGAAGCAGTTTGAAAAAAGGCCTCTGCTGTGCAAACTGAATGAACACTAAAATAAAAACAAGATGCCGGTGTACACAGCAGACAAATATCTGTTGATATGCCTAATTATTTGTTTTATTTAACATTGATTTGTGTCGTTGTTTTTGCTTAATTTAATTGTAAAGGCACTTTGTAACTTGTATTTGAAAAGTGCATTATCAATACAGTTGTTATTATTGTTGTTAGTACTTCCTGGTGTTCTCTGTGATTATATAACCTGGTTGTTGTGGTCCCCAGGTGTTTAAGGCTTACACTGATGGCCACCTCAGGGTTCTCAACAGCCTCTTTCCTCCTGTGGTGGCTCGGTTTGTCCGTTTACAGCCGCTGAGCTGGCATGGCCGAGCCTCGACTCAGGTCCAAGTCTTGGGCTGTCCTGTTGCCAAGGTCACCCCAAGGTCACGCTCAACCATTGGTTTGTAGTCCCACCTCCTTATCCCCCAAAATCTCTTGACAGTATCGATGTCCTTGTGAAGAGAAGTCTGTGCTCATGATATTGTGATGTTAAAACAGACTCTCCATCCATCAAAGTGAACATGGATACACCACGACCCAGCCCCACTCCTGCCACCACTAAGGGCCCAGTGTTAGTGGAGACGAGGCTAAGTGTGTACCTTTTATAGCTCCTAAGCTCTGTGTGTTCATTAACTTTTAATATCAAGATACATGTCAGATGAGTAAAACCTTTGCAACATGTAACGTCAATAAACTGCATTCCTTCCTCACATTTGTACAACTTTTTGCTCACTCTGTCACTTCCTGTCCTGCAGGCTCCAGTCAGCCCGTCATCGTGGCAGTGGGAGTGGTCCTGGCCCTGATAATGTGCGGCAGCTGTTTGTTGGCTGGAGTCTGGTGGAAACGAAGGTACCACATTTGAAATAGATTCTCATTTTCTGTGCAAGTATCATGCTCAGATAATCTTTTGAGTCAATAATTACTTAGACAGGCACACATACATTTTTCTGTCAACCATTAAATCCACTAACCATTGTAGCTCCTCTAGTTATTGCTCACTTAAGAAACTATGTCCAGCTCCTCAATGCTTTCTGTCCATCTCTTTATCTGTGCAGGAAAAAAGAATCACAAATGAAGTACTCTCTCCCCACAAGTAAGTCGAGTGCTCTTAAACCATGTTCCTTTTTTCAAATGTGAAATCCTCTACATCTGTATGCTTGTGTGTCAAGTAGGTGGTCAGAGTTTCCAGGCAAAGAGTCTCCCCTGCCCTCAGTCAGAGCTCATCTCCTACCCTCTGGAAAGAAATGTTCACGATGCTCTACCAAGCCCTCCTCTTAACGGTGAGTTTTCATTCTTAACTACTCTCTATTTGCTGACATTTTCATCACCCATTCAGAGTTTACTGGTGATCCAAAGTTTTGAGCCCTGCCTTCTCTCCTCCATGTTTTTTGCCCTAACACTCTTGGCTTCAGTGGTCAGTTTGAGAAGCTCCTACCAGGCCTAACAGGCAAACAGTCCTCTCCACGGGTGCTCCATTCTTTCACCCCAGCTCAGCCCATCACCCAGCCACAGTATAAACATTCCTTTCTTTGGTCCACAGAGCCTCTCTGAAAGAGACCCTTTAATTGGAGCTCGATAAAGGGCGCTCAGCCTACTCCCTGCCCACCACCACCAGTTTCGCGCCCTCCCCTGCCTCCTCCATCCCCTCCCCCAGCAAGGGGGCCCTTCACTGAGAGGTGCACTGATAAACAGGACAGAGGGTCAAAGCTAAGACAATCAAGCCCTCACTACAGCCTGTTTAATTAAAATAGTTCTGGTTCTGTTTAGCACAAAATTCAAAACTCCACCAACTCATTTAGTTCCACCATTTAACTGAAACTGGACTATTGTAAAGCAACCCTAACATTCTCCTGCGCTCTTGCTACTCTCTTCGTTTCCATGGTTCCCGTATACAAGCTACTTTGTAGTATGGACATGTACTCGTATGTTTAAAGAAATTAATTTATCATGAAACCAGTGAAATGTACTTACTCCACAGTCTGTGGATATGGTGCTCAAGATAAGAGTTTGAGAGTTACTTTAATCCTGGTTAATTAGTTAGTTATGAATGGTTGTATTGATTGATTTAATCGTTTATGCACAGGGGAATTTCTCAGAATATATAGTAAGAAGAGTTATATTCTTGTGGCTGGCAGCTTTTTGTATCAAAAAGACAAAAAAAGAAAAGAGTAGAAAATCAACCTGACAGCACATCTTCGATTCACACATTATTTGTTTGTTTGAACTGAAAAAAAATGTAGGTGTAAAAGGTTTATTGGACTTGGTAAATGGACTTGAGCTTATATAGCGCTTTTCTAGTCTTCCGACTACTCAAAGCGCTTTTACACCACTTTACGAGGGGTTGTTTGTTTTTGGCTGAGACCAGTAACCTCTTGTATTCTACACTGGTTGCCCAGCAACTGTTCAGAGCTGTCAGTGCCTACAGAAGTGACGCGGACATGGAAGTAAAAAATACTAAACAGATCAATACTGGAAACTGAAATGGTGCTTTTTAGCTGAAACCAATGCCAATATTTCTTTAATCTCAAATCACTATCTTGCTGGTTTTGACTCGTTTTCTGTTTGCTCATCTTTTCAGACTATGCTGAGCCTTCTGTCGGACAGAAAGTCGGGTCAACATTTAGACCGTCCTCGGATGAGGGCTACACCACCCCGTTCTCTTTAAGCCATTATGACACTCCTGGGAGCCTGCCAGAGTACGCAGAGCCTCTTCCCCCGGAGCCCGAATACGCCACCCCGTTCAGCGAGCAGCCCTCTGAGTCACATGGACCTCCTGTACCAGCACTCAGCGCTGGTACCAGGACGATACCCAGCCGTTCCCAGTATGACTGCCCCTCACACAGGATGCTGTCAAATGGCTACTGCATGCCCGCTCTTCACACCAACGGCCCACGCCCAATCAGTGTGGTCTACGCTGAGCCCAAGTCATGTGACTCGTTACTACAGAAGCACACATATGAGGAGCCTTTGTAAGCAGCTCAGACATAAAAAACAAGACTCTTATGAGATCAAATGTGGCGGGACCAGAGGGTGAGCTCAACTGGACACAAAGCTGGACAGTGTTGTCCAAAGTGTGCTCATGCTGACAGAGCTGCACTCCAGTGGTGAGCCAAGAGTCTACAAGTAACAGTGAACTACTTTGCATATATAGTTCACCGATCTGAGAGACATATGGATGCAAATATTTCCTTTACACGAACAAGTTGTACAACGGAACTATCCTGTGATGCACTGAAAAAAAAAAAACATGTTCAGTTTATTAATGAAATGTTTTATCACAAGCTGCACTTTCAGAAAACATACACGTATGTTTTGACCTACTTAACAGTTAAGTGAAAAGAAAACCTACTGAATATGTTACTTGTCCTCACAAAACATTGTATTTATAATGTATAATTTCAACATATTAAAACAACTTTTATAAAGCACTATAAATGGTACAAAGTAACTTAAGTGGTTGTAATTGTTTCAGAGGTTGTGCATGACCACTAGGGGGCTCTCTTGAGCTGTATACCTGTCACAGTAATGCCATTATTTGTCTGCTGATTCTAATTCTTTAGATCATTTTCATCTAATTTAACATAACAAATACTGTTTTTAAGAAAAGACAGCAGACAAGGTGAAGCTGTGTACACGGTGAAGGACTTTCCTTCATATGGAACAAAGCTCCTGGGATTCAGACCACTGCAGTATCCTTGAAGTATCCTACAAGACACAGATACCTCAACCAACCTCAGAGCTGTTCTTGCCATCAGTATGGAAAAGGGAGATTATTGTGTAAAATCAATTTTTAAAAACAATTCTAGTGTGTGGCAGTGATGTTATTTTTTTATGCCTTTGCCACTTTACTTTCTATTATTCCATTCAAGGTTCTGTGATTTATTTTTTTAATTACAGGTCTGGAACACAAAATCCCTAAAAAACAGTAATAATAAAGAACTGGTGTTGTTTACACTGATTCTTAGAAATGTAAATACGAAAAGGAATATATGATAAGACATACGATTGTAATTTTTTCTATTACGTCTATAAATGTTAAGAAAAGACCCTCAAAAATGTGTATCTTCTAAAAATCCTTCATGATGTCACATTTGTTCCATGTTCTCCACGGCTGAATACAGCACAATAAAACAACTTTGATAACAAACTGAAGTTTGACTGCGGCAGTAAGGTAGTTAGGTCATTATCAACGGACTAAAACACAGGTAGTGATGTATTTCCAAAAACAGGCTGTTTGTAATGGGGGAAAAACTGAAGGAACAACTTTAAAAAAAATAATAACATCAAAGCTTATTCAACTTGAAAGGAGCCTAAATACAGAATATATATTTTTACACAGGTAGTTTACAACACTTAATGTTTTAAGCAATGATCCTGGTTTATTCCTAAATTCAGTTTTTTGTAATGATTTCACTCTCCACTGTCAGCGCAGACCCTCTCATTTGTGCTAAAGTCCTTCCTCTGGACCTCCTCCTCATCTCTGCCCTCGGAGGAGTAGTGCATCAGAGTCTGGTGTCTGTTCCTGGAAGGTGCATCCTTAAAACGCAGGCCACAATCTTCACATGTGTACAGGAGCGCCTCTCGGTTACTGCCTGGGTTTGATGATGTCTCTGACTGAGATTTGCTCTCATTCCCCACAAGAGGGGCCAGTCCGGGACGACCAGGGGAATCTGTGATATTTGAAGCTGCATGCATGTTACAACCGAGGTTGTTGGGGGTATTTAGGCCAATGGTGGCTTGAGGAAAAGTCTTTGGACGCCCAAGAGGAAAACCATGACCAGGTCCAGCTTCTCCAGCATGTTCAGGTGCCAGCCCGTGGACTGTGCGGTAGTGGAAGCGGATCCCAGAGCGATTGGAAAAGCCCTTCCCACAGATGCTGCAGATAAAGGGCCTCTCTCCTGTGTGGATACGGGTATGGATCTTAAGAGCTCCTGACTGAGTGAAGCATTTCCCACAATGGCTACAGCGGTAGGGTTTCTCTCCTGTGTGGGTCCTCTGATGGGCACGGACCCCTGCAAGATGGGGGAAACCCCTGCCACAAAATCGACAGGAATATGGCCTTTCACCTGTGTGAATCCGCCTGTGGATCTTCAGAGCCCCCGACTGGCTGAAACTCTTCCCGCAGTCAGAGCAGGAGTAAGGCCGGGCTCCAGTGTGCACATTGAGGTGAATGCGGAGGTTGCTGTGCGAGTTAAAGGCCCTGCCGCACTCTGTGCAAAGGAAGCCAGATTGTTTGTGGGCGTGCTCGGCGCGCTGATGCTGCAGCAACTGTGACGGTCTGGAAAAAGAGGCAGAGCAGTGCATACAGGGATGCTGTGAAAACATGGTCGACACTGCCCTGCCTCTTTCCTCCTGTTGTTGAATGTGAGTTTGTCTGTGCTGATGGTTGCTCAACTGAGAACAGTTAGGAAAGGAGCGCTGGCAAGACAGGCATGGAAAAGGGCTAGAGAGCTGAGGGCAGGGTAAACAAGAGGTTAATGGACAGTGGTGATGGTGAAAATGATGATGGGCATGGGTGTGAGAAAATTGAGAATCTACTGAGCCTTCATGGTGGCTCAGCACCTTGCTGCAGGTTTGGAGGCTGTGATGGCAACACAGACAGGGAAACATGGAGAAGTGGGATGAGGAGCCAGGCTCAGCTCTAGTGGGAGGTAAGTCTGAGGATGTTGCTGGATGTTCTTTGTCTGCCTCCTTTCTGTTGGGGCGGCAGGATGGTCTGGTCTCTAGCTCGGATATAGAGGTGCTGCTTGGTTCAGTGTCTGGTAAGCGAATACTGAGGCTCATTGGAGCAGAGCTGCTAGAGGCCAAAGATTGTCTGGGTTTTAATGTCTCAGATGAAAGTGGAAAAGTGGAGTATGGGCAGCCAGGGCAGGTGCAGGCAGAATGCACATCTAAAGGAAACATGAAAAACAGTTCGATAATGTAAAAAAAAAAAAATAAGAAAAAAGCAAGATTAAATTGATCTCAGGCTCTTACCTTTTCTAATAAGTCTCGTCTCTCTTTTGTTCTGTGATGCTGCAGTCTGGATCTCTTTAACAGGCTCTGTCTCTGGCTTCTCTGAGTTGGTTTAAGTCCAAGTAAAGGACCCCTGAACCCTACTGCCTCACTGGCGCCCTCAGCACCGACGTCGACAACGCCCCATGCTGCGTTCAGCACATCAGGCTGATTCTTTGAGCTGTTTCCAGATGAGACAAGGTCACCGATGAACTGATGCATCTCCATCCAGGAGGACTGACCATGTTGCAGAAAGTAACGAGGCATTTTTTTTTTTTTTTTACAGAGAGAAGAAAAGTTTTGTTTGAAAAGTAAAAAATAAAAAGTATAACTCTTGTGATTTCATAGTCATAAAGTAAGCTATATTCATGGGTTACCCTAAAAAAATCGCATGATAAAGGGGTTGTGTACTTACAACGTCGCTCTTGCCTTTCTCCATGAATGTAAACAAACGCTGCTGTTGTGTCCTGGTCGATCGATTTACTTCATCGATTACTTTTATAAGATTGCACAGAACTATGTTAACTACAGAAAATAAGCATTTTCTTTATTTCATGATTACATCTCTACAGTTGCACACTCCTGTCAAGTCATCTCGTTCCCTAGCATACATTGTGTTTCCGGGTTCCACGATCACGTGACATGAGTTGCTTCTTTTTTTTTTGTTTCCCTCCTATTTGCCCTTGACTATATTGTTTGGATAAAACTGAATAGCTATGCTACCGTACTATGAAAAACGACATCGTATTTTATCAAAAGAAAAACTAAAAATAGGTCGTTATTTAATAAACAAGTAAAAAAAAAAAAAAAAAGTACATTTTTAAATATTAAAAAACATTCACAGACTTCTATTTAGGCTACAAAACATCTTGTTAATTACGCTTCTCGTTTCCAATTAAAGGAATAAGAGTATTAGATGGTTACCGAGAGAAAACTGAAGAATTTATAATAAATCCAGGAACAACTTAAAAAGCATCAGTGTTACAGACTGAGTAGTCAAGTCAAACTATCTCTGTGAAGTATGCTGATTATACTGAAAGTTTTAATGATCACCAAAGCACCTTAATATTTTTTTATTTCCTGTAAAATAATATCATTACACCTACATTTTGGATCTATTTAAGTGTTTATTTACCTTAAGAAAAAATGTAAAGATATCTGCGGACAGCAAAGGATCACAAACACAAGAGGACATAATGTCATGTTATTGATCACCATCTTTATTTGCATGAACACAATAATCCATCAATCATGTTTACAGCCGTATAACCATAAATCCAGTGTTTCTGTCAACTTAATACATATAAATAAAACCAAGGAACCAAGGATATGTTGCTGAGAGACATCCTGCTGAGAGAAATATTGCATGGACAGGACGTCTATCATCACAAACATTTTTGCTCCAGTGAGTTACGAACGTTCATCAAAATGCAAACAAAGCAGAAACTGGAACTTGGAATGTATTCATTGGACAATTTATATTTAAAAAAAGTTCACACTCAAGAACCAAAAGCCACACAGTCAACTGTTAAGTCAATTTATAATTGTAAAAAGTGTGGGAAAAAAACAGCTTCATCATAAAGAAGTACAACGGTGGACAAACAGACAAGTCCAAAAGGTAGTTATACTGCAAACCTAAACTGCGACAGAGGATGCTGCATTCAGGGCCCAGTTGTTCAAAAAATGTAATCTAGTAAATGATCTAGACTTGGGAATTCACTTTTCTGCTATCTGTGATAAGTAAATCCATACGACATACATCTCTGGTTTGGATCAACCATATCCAGATAGAGTACTGACTTTAAAACCTTATGGATTACACAAAAAAAACTTTGCACCACAGAGCCAAACTCCACACAAACTAAAAGTTCCTCAATTCCATTACATTAAACATTTAGATGGATACTACTTTTATGATGGCAAAATCATTCTAATTTTGTTCAACCAATCTTGAACAACTAGGCCCACTGTTTGTTTGCATGCTTCTGGTAACAAGCACACTAGAATTTTACACAACAGATCAGCCATACAACTAATAACTGATGATGCTTGGTCCCATATTACTGCCAAATGCCTTTGTCAATGGAAGTATTGCATTAAGAAAACTGATTAGGCTAGAGTCGTTTTCTTCTTTTTAATTATGGGACTGTGTCTGAGCTGAACATGGATGAAGTACCGAGAGAAATATAATCAATCCAAATAAAAAGTGTAACAAAATAAAGATTTATATGTACAAATAACTCATAATAAAAAATGAAACGTTGGTCCCAACATAACCATCCTGAGCTGCGCCTATACCCGCTCATGCATCTTGGCCTCCAGTCCCTCAGGGAATGGTCCGCTCCACCCAGTTGTTCTTATTTCTTTATGTAAAATACATTAACTTACAAATTTGAACAAATTTAATGTATTTTTCCTCTATTGCCTTACATGCAGCAAAATATCATTTTTATAATTGCTGTTCTTCATAGCTACCTGAGTAGGGAAGGTGGAACACCATAGCTTTATTTGGAAGATGAGTGAAATGAAGCGTCATGTCCACTGTTTTAAGAAACCGTTGTAACCCTGTCATTAAAACCCCTTTTTCTGATTGAGTTTTTGTCCTACCAGCTTACGAAGGAAAGCCTGATTATGTGGTGTTGTAGTCAAGACCACAGTAACCAAGACCAAGTATACCCGAGACCAGAGTGCTTAAGGACCAAGACTTTTAGGGATCAAGACTGAGACCGAGACAAGACCATAAATATCAATGAAAAATCCTCCTTGTGTGCGCAGGGGACGTGTCACACTTTTAAAGCGAAACACCGGGAAGGTTGTAGCTGTGAACTGGGGGGGGGGATAAAAACTACAAATGTTGTTTAAGAAAGGGTTGTTTGCCTTCTAAAAACAGTAATGATGTGGAAAAATTGCCAATCAGTGGTGGTCTTGACCGCCGGTATTAAATAAAAATCAGGAGTCTGCCGAGTCTGAGAATAAGGCAAGACTGAGTAAAATCTCTTTCAATTCCAAGACAAGACATTCAAAAAGTTGTCTCGAGACCAAGACCCATCTCAAGTACTACAACACTACGATTATGTCACGTTTGCAGTGGGTCTCTCAGGTCTCCTTCTTAATGTCCATTATCAGTCCAGTGGAAGTTGACAGATCCAAAGGGTCCATTTTGCAGTTCTTCACGTCAGTGTAAGTATCATTTTTTATGTTTTTCAATGCACATCCTTGAAAGCTATAAGCCTCTGCTGAGATATTAGACTCTTCAGGCTCATTTTTAACAGAAAGGAGAGGGACAGCACTCAGAGCAGACTTTTTCGACAAATCAAATGGTGCTACATAATTTGGAAACTTCTTAATCTCTTTAAACAAATCCATAGGGGCATTCAGCGGCTTTCCAATGGCACCCACTGCCATGTGTTCATTTGAAACAAGCGGGAAAGCTACTTGAGGCTGGACTATCACAGCTGGAGCTGGAGGTGTTTGAGTTTCCGAAGAGGGGAGCGGCAGGCCATCGGTTGGTGTTGCGCAGACAGGAAGAAGCAAAACAAGTTCAGCAGCTGGAAGAAGAGGTTTGTCAAGAGTTAGCTTCCACAATCCATCTGTTGTATTTGAACCAGCAGACACACCCTCAAGCACAAGTCCAGGGTTATGAGACACCTGCACCGATGCAAAAAAGCTTTCTGAAACATCAGCAGTTGCTCTTGTAGTTTTACGACCTGATGACTTAGGTCTTGAAGTGCGCCTTTTCATTAGTTTTTTTTCGCCTTCTTGAAATGGAGTCGGTGAGTGTGGATTTGAATTGACTGTCTCGGGCATTGTGGTCTCGGATGAAGAGCTCTCTGGGGCTGGGCGTTTCTTGGCAGAACTCTTAAATGAGAAACAACAGATACATCAGTCATTTTAATAAATGATACAAAACATAAGTCAGACAGGTCAGTATAATCAGGGTGGAGAACACCAGAATCTGCCATTTAACTTCAAACCAGACATCCTGAGTCTACCAAAAAACATCATAAACACTCATTTTTTTCCTAAAGACCTTGATTTGGTGTTTCCAACAAACAGTAAAACCTGAAGGAATCTGACTCTTAAAAAACAAGCCTGGGCCTTCACACAATTTTTAAGCTACCGTTTTAAAATGTCTTTGTCAAAGATGACTACCACTCAAAATGTTAACCACAGTCTTCACATTCCTTGTTAAGGGTGGTTGTGGTCAGATGTTAAATACTGCTTGTCAGCATGGAAGTTTTACTTGGCAGATTTAAGGTGTTGAATTTAAGGGAAGGCAAATCATGAATGCCTCACACTCACCTTAGGCTGAGGTGCTTGTCCACAGGTCTTAAGGTGGCTGTCATAGTTCTGCTGGTGGGGAAAGCCTAGTCCACAGCTTTGACAAAGGCAGGGTGAGTTTCCAGCATGACCACCCATGTGGGACATTAAGAGCAATGCCGACCGGAATCCCTTTCCACACTCAGCACATTTCAGCACCCTCTGGTGAGCCCCGGCATGTTGCTTTAGCTCTTCCGAAGTGTCAAATCTCTGTCCACACTGCAAACATCTGATCTGATCCCCTTTCGGCTCCTGATTGCCCCAGCAGCCTGTGTCCTTTTTGTGCTGCTCAAAGTCCTTCTGACTGAGAAACTCCCGCAGACATGCCACGCAGTGAATGCGTTCAGGTTCACACTTGTGTTGGAGGTACAGTTTTGCCAGGCGGAAGTGGCAGCGGCATCGGACGCAGGTGTAAGGCAACAAACCAAGATGGGAGAAGCTGTGTTTCAGGAGAGCATTCTTCTTGGTAAAGGACTCCTTGCAATCAGTGCATCTGAAATTGCGATTGCAGGTCTTCTTCCTGTGGCGAACAAGCTGTTTTGTAGAGGAGAAACTGCGCCCACATAAATCACATCCGATTTTCTGCATACATGCACGCTGCTTCACGTGATATGCACACGCCTCTAAGGAAGCAAACACACGTTTGCACAGGTCACACTCGTAATATTGATCCTGAAAGTGATTAATGGCCAAGTGATGTTTCAAATCCTCCTGGTGTGAGAAACCCTTGCGACAAATACGACACTGAAAGCTCTCCGCTCTGGTCTGGGCATGGGTGCGCAGATGGGCACGGTAGCTGCTAATCTGGCAGAAGCGCTTTCCACATTCAGCACAGCAGTAGGGGCGGGCTCCGGTGTGCAGATTCATGTGGTCTTGAAGTTTGAATTTGGAAGTCAGCTGGAGACCGCATACGCTGCAGCTGAAGTCACCTGACTGACTCGTGTCTGCAGAAAGGAAATTTAAAGTTTAACCAATGGTAAAAGTTCAACCCATTAATGATGTACACTCGGCATCAGCAGAGAAACCAAAAGGCATTATTACAATGCCCTAATCCAGCAACGGTGACCTGTCATTGTGTTTTTTTCTCGATTTTGGGAATAAAAAATGTTTCTGGCATAGGAAAACAAGCTATGCAATTGTATTGTTATGACACTTTGAAAGTGTAGTACAGAAATTCCCCACAACTCAAAGTGCTTAAAACATTGTGAATAATACTCTACTGTAGGCTAACAAGTGTAAAGGTGATTGAGTCATACCACTGTTTAGTTCATCTTCTTCCTCCTCATCCTCTTCTTCCTCACACACTTCTGAAACATCACTATCAGAGTCATTCTCTTCATCTTGTTGCTCTTCTGTCAAACCCTCGGGCTTTCCATTATCAACAACTTGCTGTTTACTGTGATTCTGATCAGTTATCGGCTGCTCTGGTCCAGAATGGAGATGGTCTGAAGGAGACACAGGTTGTTCAGGAAGTCCTCCATCTTCTTCAGCTTGTGCATTTTGTGCAGGAGTTAGGTTTAACACAGGTGGAATTAAATCCACTGCATTTTGTTCAAAACTTGAGGTCTGTTTGACTGAACCTGCGTCTGTCCCATCGTAAGACTGATGGCCCGTGACCAGTAGCCTCTGTTTGAGTGTGGTTGAACGAGTAATAGGAGGGTGACCGGGTGGTAATGACTCATTAGATGATGTGGAGCGGATGGGTGCTTCTCCAACCGAAGTGTCCCGGACATGTAGGGTGTCAGTCGGAAATCCCAACTCAGTTAGCTGGATATCAATGGTGTATTCAATGGACATGACTGCAGGCTGAGGACACATGAAAGATAGCGGTGAGCAGGTGTGGAAGAAACATTCGATACTGAAAAGTATTTAACAGTTTATGAAAAAATACACAACTTTTTATGAACACATTTAAGATATTTTCACGTTTAGTGCACCTCGCCTTACCTGTCGGGAGACTGCATCTGTGGCCGTGCTCCTGTGTCGTCCTTTTTCTTCTCTTTGTTCTTTGTTAAAGAGCTTGGCAATCAAGATGTGCATGCAAATCCAGCTGGGACATGCCTCACTATGCTGTTGTTACCTCACACACTTGGAAGAGAATAAGCTGCAGTGGCAATGCGTCGCTTTGCTTCAGACAGTAAGCTTTACCCTCGGATTTATCCTTTTTATCCATGGCAATATTGCTGGCACATTTTGTAAGATATATGAAAAGATGCACCAACTCAACGTGTAAAATGAATGACGGCGGATACGCGTTTTGCAGGCTACAAACTCTCACGCGACGCAATGGTTAAGGGGAAAGGAAAACACAAATGAGCGTCGCAAGAGGAAATGGCTGTCGGCACTCGAGCACACCCCGTGTCTTGGGGCGGTATTGCAAGGCTTGACCAGCAAGTCAAATTTACACTAACATGCTGTTTCTGTTGGTTTTTTCTTCGTTTTGTCAAGTCTGCCTGTTTATACTTCTATGCTCAACTTGAACGGGGTAAATTGTACCTTTACTATAGAAGAATTATCAATATACATATTGTTATACTGAAAATGCATGAACATAATCACATCTAGAAACCTTAATTGATGCACATTAGTTTCAAGTAAATATTCCTTAAGTAGATCTAATACCACAAGGATTTACTGGTGCTTAAATAATGTATCAACCAGATCGTATCAGAGACTAAACATCTGACATATTTTATATATATATATATTTTTTTTTAAGCACAATTAAAACACAGTTAGCCACACATAAAGCCCTGGTTTATAGATTATAACCTTGTGATTCCTGCTCTGTATGTTCTTCACACCAACATTTCAGGTGTGGTCCCAGCATTAAAAATATGACAAAGACAAATAATACAGCTTATATCTTCAGCAGCCTCCCTTAGAATAGCATGGTTTATTACATGTTTTGCAGTGTCCAGACACATTGCAGTGGGAAGAGAAACAATCAGATCAGTGAATAACACATGATATACACAGTTCCCTATGGGACTTTTAGGCATTAAAGGGCCATGAGTTCCATTGAAGAAATGTCTAAGACACAAAATAGTTCTAATGAATAAAAAAATAACAGGACATTTGATTGTAAGACAAATCAGTTTTATAATGGATGATTTCTGCCCATGGGCAAAACACTCCACATGTTCATCTGAAACAATTGTTTAAAAATTAATTTTAAGCAGAGGTAAATCATATTATTTTAAAATTATTCCCCAATCTGACTTAATTTAGAAATAAACATCAAAGTATTAAATGTAAAAAAAAAATGCAAAAATGTGGCCCAGAAGCTGTACAGTACAATTCTCTTTTGACAAACTTTCTAAACATAGTATCTCTATTTTTAATAATTGGCTTCAAAATGTTTAATTACCAATCTGTAATGAAAAATAGAAAAAAAAAAACATTTTTTCCACAAGATAAGTTTTAAAACTCAAAACACCGAGTAATAAATTCACACCACACGCATTCCAAACTGTAAAAAAAAACTTAAAGAAATTATTTTAAAAAGGTTAATTAAAACATTTTTTTTTGTTTTTACAAATAAACTACGCGTTGTGACAAAGGGTGAAATAGATGGATTCAGCAACATTTGGTTAGTCAATTTAGGATTTTTTATCTCCGTCCATAATTTCAACAGCTCGAGATCAAAACTCAACTTTAAATACAAAACTTGCTAAAATGTCACTCTTGAAACCATCTCATCTGAAAAGCATCATCTATCATCTGTAGCACCCGATCTCTAATGTTAAAAGAAAAGGGACAAGTCATGACTAAAATCTTCAAAAACAACTGCACTTTCTGCAAGGTCCCCAAGTCTCAATTATCTCTTGGCACTTGGGTTTTCAGGCTTCTCCTCTGGGTGGCTTTTCTCATGATTCTTTAAGGTGCGCTCACGGCCAAAGCTCTTCCCGCAGGTTGCACAGGCAAAGCGACCCACAACGTGAGCTCTTGACATGTGGGCATCCAGCTGCTCAGGACGGGCAAAGCTCTCCTCACATTCTTCACAGGGATGGGCTTTCCGCGGGGTGTGTTTCTCCTTCTTATGGGCTCGGAGCTGGATCAAGCTGGGGAGGGTGAGGTCACATTCAGGACAGGGGTGCTGACGGGCTGGAGCAGGAACTTCTTTAGGTTTCTTCTCTTTTGCAGAAGCCTCACTTTCATCCTCAGGACTCTTCTTATCTTCTGTTTCTGATTTTGCTGCAGCTTTAGCTGGACGGCCACGCTTTGCTGCACCTGCTTTTCCTTTTTCCTCAGCCAACGGAGCTGCTGACTCAGATGTGCTGCTGGCCTTCACCTCCTCCTCAGGCACATCTGCTTCATCCTTTTTTTTCCGCTTTCCCTTCTTCTCAGTGCCCGCAGGGTCTTCAGTTTTGGAGGGCCGCCCACGTTTCTTGACAGATGGAGCACTTCCGTTACATTGCTGACCTTCAGGATACTTTTCCTGGTGTGCCACCAACTCCGGCTCTGTTTCAAAGCCCTGGCCACACTTAGCACAGCGGTGGGTTTTTGTATGGTCCTCTGGCTGTTCTGCAGGTTCGACGTCTGGGCGCGGATGCTGGGTAAGGCGATGAGTACGCAGCAGTCCAGCACTTCTGAAGATTTCATTACAATCTTTACATACCAACTGTTTCTCTGGACACACCTGTCTTCTATGGGCAGTCAGCTGCGTTGGTGAAAAGTACAACAACAAAAAAAACACTTAGTATTAGCTACAATGTGTTAAATATTCATTCATTTTTTTAATGTAATGTTTCTGTATTTCTATTTAAATATTATCTAATATTTTGATATTGAATCTTCACTGTGGCTGTTAATTGTTTGTTTTGGTGATTTCTAAATTGTCTATTTAAATTTTTCTTTTCCCTTTGTCTTGATGCTTTTGATGTCTTGCGTAAAGCACTTTGAATTGCCTTGTTGCTGAAGTGTGCTATCTGAATAAACTTGACTTTTAATAATTATTTTGGACTTTGTGTCCCTGATTTACTACTCTATCTACTGTCCTTTCAAAAAAAGGCATGGAGATTGGGGAATGACATGCAGGAGAGGAGCGAAGGGGTCGGACATGCGACCTACCTGCTAGGACACCAGCACCACTGATGTTTTATTTGAATGCATCCAGTGACAACCATTCTAAGTATAAAAACATTTTACTCACCTCAGAAAAGGTTTTAAAGCTCTCCTTGCAGTGAACACATTTGAAGGGCTTGTCGTCCTTGCTATGTGTTGGCTGGTGCTGTGTCAGCTCCTCAGAGGACGGAAATGTTCGATCACACACGTAGCAGGTGAACAAGGTGTTTCCCTGTAGTAAAATAAAAAACAAGATTAGAGGGACATGGGTAAATTAGGTCCAGATTTAGACCCCCCACTATAGTTTCTAAGGTTAAATCCACGTTTAAGGGAATTGAGTTTATTTTCTGAAGCAATATTGAGTTTCAGTAAACTGACAAAGTAACAATGAAAACAAACATACAAGCTGTGAATATAATGTGCTTCATCTTGAGTACAACATCATTCCCAATAAATCTTTAATACAAAATAAATATTAAATTTACAATAAATCCAACACAAAATATAACAAAAAAAATGTGCTTGTTAGCTGTCTTCGGGTTTGGCTATTTATTTTCCCAGTTATTATATTGGGCAATAAGTTAAAAAGAAAGGACAAAAGATCACAGATGAAAGTTACAGAATGATACAGATGTGTGCCTATTGCTAAAGAGACACACTTTCACAACTGGTTGAGGACTATTAGGCACAGATATAAGAAAGGTGAGAAAAGATATGAACACTGCAACTCAGTGTCAGTAAGGATGAAAACTAATTGTTCTTATGACATCTCCAAATAAATTTGCATCAAAGTGTTGCTACTTGAATGTTCCCAGAATGTATTTTAACCACATGGGATTGACCTTTACAAACACAAAAAGAAAAATAGTGTGTGAAGCTTACCTGCTGAAGCTGTTGCTTGTACTCTTCTCTGTGACTTTTCTTCATATGTCTTTCCTTGGCTTTGGCACTGCAGAAAGTGATGAAGCACTGGAAACACTGCAGATTCTCATGCTGGTCTGGAGGGACATAAGAAAATTAGAGATCAAAGTGAGACAATGTTAGTTGTTCAGCTTCATCGAAAAGCTGTGACCACGATCATACTTACAGGATTGAACAGTTGATGCAGGAGGTCCATTCAGAGTGATGGGCTTGGGCTTGGGCTTGTATGGTTCAACAGGCTTTTCTGGGGGGACCTCTGGGGGTGGATCTGGCAGTCCCCGTCCCATCACGATCTCCTCTATGTTCAAAATTCCAGAGTCCATCCTGGCACTCTACGCAAGCCTTCACAACAACTTTCCTAGATGAAATTTAAAAACAAGATAAAATTGAAGAAAACATACATAAATAAGATTCTCAACATTTTCTAAGATACTTTTTTAAAACAATAAAATCTTTTTTTTTTTAAATGATAAAAAGTAACTAAAAGTACTAACACTCACAGATACGATAATATTTTAATGATCCCCAGAAGGGAAATGCAGATTTTGCAGCAGCGCAAAAACAAGTAGTAAATACGTAACCGAATAGATGAGATAAATAAAATGTTTATAATCAGATGTATACACACAACTGGAAGATAAAGGAGTGACATAAAAGTGTTAGAACCACTATGTGACATTTTACCGCAATAATAACTTATATTCAACAGATGAAAACGTCAATTTCAATAATAACTTGTTTGTATTTGCTAGCTGTCATAAAAACATGTTGTGAGGGAACCACAGCGCGCACAGCCTGTGTGTTGATTAAGTGTTTACCTGAAGTAAAACTCAAGTTTCAGCTAAATGTGGCTGACGTTACGTTACTGTCTGTCTGTTAAGGCCGCTAGCTGATGCTAAGCTAACTAGCTCAGCGCAAGCTCAAGAGCATCCGGCATTCCGTTTTCTGGTAAAAATGTATAAACTGCTCTGTCTTGGGAACCGGAAACGTTTACAGAAATTGCAACTGTCTAAGTGCGACATCTGTGTACGTAGCTAACAATACTAATAAAAAAAGATCACAAGATTCTGAGTTAGCAAACGCTGGCTAGCATGCTACTGGTTAGCGCTAACAACACTGGCTGCCATTCAAAAAGAAAGAATACTTTTTGAGCCTTTTCCCAACACCATGTCTTAACTCGTTGTTTTGGTGCTTGTATGCATCTATGATATATTTAAATGTGGTGCAAGTAATGTAGTGTACATGTATGAAAGGTTTATAATGACATGAATACTGAACATGCTACGTTACCTCTGCCCGCTCTTTGAACGTAGTTACTGAGAGAGTTGACCCCACAGAAACACAACGGATAGATCGGACACTTCCTGGTGTACGGTCGTGATAGCGGCTGCTACAAATAAGATGGCTGCCGGGGGACTGTTCGGTACTGTGTTATTATTTAATGTTTAGATGGGAAAAAAATATCCATTCATCAAATACCACACTATAATAACTACAAAAGTAGCCAAACAAAAAAAGTATGCTTTCTTTGTGGATTTGTACTTGCCCCCTTTTCTATTCAATCCGAATCTATGGCTGATTTCCGTCACGTGACCCAGACCAATTTAGTGAAAAGTGTTAATTGTAGTTTCCGTACTGTAATTGTTTTGTTGTGTTTCCTGCATCCCTTTCTATAAAATCTTAAACTGCATGGTAACCCACAAAAAAACAACTAGATGGTCCGTTTCTATCTTACAGGCACTTGTCCCATCAATATTATTCTATATTTTGTATATTCAAATATTTTTTTAAAATTGTACATTATATTTCTATTTTACTGTATATATGTGTATTAGCAATTTGAGTGTTTATTGCATGGCCTTGCGGAACAGTCTTTACATTTCACTGCACATCTGTATGAGCATGTGACAAATAAAAATCTTGAATTTGTATCACAATGTTTAAATAATGTGTAATTTTCTTTAGAATTTCTAAGCCTGCATTATACCTACTTTTGGAGTCTGAATACAGATAGTAAATTCACATTATTATTATTTTCAATTTAATCAATGATCAATGATAACCAATGATGATTGAATAATATTTTGCTGCCTTTGTCTCAGAATGCTGCTACTATAGATTCTTGTTCAGCTTATGTTACATAGGCTATATGACCAAACCATAACCAATGTAGTAGCACTTAGCAGCCATGTTTTTCCTACTGTAATGAGTCAAAATAGCTGCTTGAGAAGGGTCTTTAAAAACAACAAGCGATTCATTTTTCAAAGTATTTTATTGTTTTGTTTAAATCACATAAATTACGTTTTCAATTCATAGAGCCAAATGAAAAGCTCAGTATGAAATGCAAATGAGGTCAGTTCAGTAACACAAAAAACATGGTCATTGCAAAATCAAATACTTAAATTACACCATTTCCGCAGCTCAAAATTCATGGTTATGAGCCATTTTTTCACATTTCCTTTTGATTTCCTTAAACATGCTCACAGAACAAAGCATGTTTTTTGAAACTGCAGCACAATTATTCATCAATACAATGACAAGGACAGTGAAAGGCATTGTGGAAAAGTTTTAAAGACATAAAAGGTAATACCATTTTTTGATACACTGGGTTTTTGTACACCAAAAGCACAGCTGTTGAAACTACTTTTCTCCCAACCCCTCTTGACTATGAAAATTCAAAAAGCAGTTGTGGTTTCGCGAGATACAAAGAAATACACAGCACTTAAGGCATAGCACTCGAGATGTTCTCTGACAGTCCCCGTAACGACATCTTCCCCCTTCTCCCTCAACAAGTTGCTCTGGCCAGTGGCCTGAACCGTCGTACCGCGTGGCTGCATCTGGGAGAGGATTTTCTTCCACCAGGCCAAGATTTGGGGTTTCATGTGTTGCATGGACTTTCTCTACAGGGGGTTGAGGAGGAACTGAATCCTGGGTATCAGAGTCGCTAGATAGGATGAAATCCTTGGACACCTCCAACCTAAAGGCCATGAAAGACAAAGGTGCAGAGGCCGCCATGTGATCCTGTCTGTAAAGGAGCCAGGAGTTGACCAAAGCCATATCTGTCAGGTACCAGAGCACAGCTTGAGGCCAGCAGGTTGAAGCTGAGGCAGTGAGGGGGATGGAGTAAAGCTTCAGTAGGTCTCTGTTGAGATGAGTCGACATCTGGGCCTTCTCAAAGTTGTCAATGAGAGAAGCCATGTTCCTTTGGCCATTCCCCGCAGTAGAAAGTATGAAGCCGCAGTGTGATCTACGCAACATCAGCTTCCCATCTGAGCTCACAAACTCATCTCCAATCTGTCCTCGGGCCCCTCCCACCCTGCCTGCACCATGTACCCCAGCAACTAACAGACGCTCCAGCATGGCAGGGGTGGAGAGTTCCTGTTTGCAAAGAAACACCGTACTGCCTTTTGGAACCATTTTTTCAACAGCATCTTCTTTGCCAGACGGACCCAATTTAAGATCCACATGTAAGAGCAAACCACTGAATCCAACTAATGTAGTGCAGTGGAGAGAGAGTTTCTTATTGTGCTTCTTCCCAGTCAAAGGTAATGGATATTGGTCAACTGCATACCCGCCATCATGTCTCAAAGACTGGCACCCAGCTATAAATCGACAAAGTATTGGCTGCACTTTCCCCAGGGGATCAGTTTGGGTTTTAGAACCGTTAGAGTCATTTGGTGTGTGAACTTGCCTCTGATCATCACTGGATGGACAAATATCACTTTGCTTGCTTGAGAGTGTTTTACTGTGATGTAAATCACTATCATGTGTTCTTTGTTGAACACTTCTGTCAAGTGGATCCCTTTCAGGAGAAGCAAGCTTCAACATACGAGACAGCTCAAGGAAACGAGAAAGGGGCATCGCTTCAGCAATCAAGGGCACCTTTGTCAAGTCCTCCCAGTAGAGCCTCAGACTGGGAAACTGGAAAAGAGCAAGAGACAAAGTTAACTTCAGTTTGACTAAAAAAAAATGGAAAGGACTCAAGAAAAAATAGTTTACCAATCAGCACAAACCTTTAAAGTTCCCATCGCAATGTGGATCCCAACAAACTGTGCAACCGCTCTGGCTGTAACAGGATTGGTCGTGTTGGAAAGTTTATTTGTGCAATTTGCAATTTCTACCCAGGTTTCCCAACCAAAATACTTGGAAAAGTAATCAATGGGCCTTCTGGTCCTTTCTCCCTCTTTATGTGCCTGAGAATGGACCTCTGAATCTGGAAAACTATGAGAGAAGAATAAAAATTACATCATATGCAAGGGTAAAACAATTATAATTTCATAACAAATACAATTACATGAGTAGTTTTTAATACATAAAACCTTGAGTTCATCTTTTGTTGCCCAATTAAAGATCACAATAAACTATTATACACACTATCCATTCATCCATTATCTATTCAGCTTATCTCGTTTGATCCCAGCTTTGACTGGGTGACAGGTATGGTTCACCCTGGACTGGTGGCCAGCCAATCACATACACATAGAAAAGCAACCCCTCACTCTCACATCCACACCTCCGGACTAAGGACCATGTCTTTGGACTGTAGGAGGAAGCCTGAGTACCCAGAGCAGTCAAGCAAGCATGTGAGAGAAGATGCATAACTCCCCACAGAAAGGCCCTGTTTGACGATGATACTAATCTAAAACCTTCTTGCTTTGAGTATTATTTAATGTTTAAACAACATTAGTAAAATGTATATTTTTTTGAAGGGTTTCAGACTAAAAGAAGTCAAGTGTTTCGTACTTTTTTGATGTTTCATCTGGCCGCTGTGCGCTGTTTGTGTGGTTCTTGTTGAAATAGGACATCACTTCTGCCTCTGAGTCAAGCTGAGGGTCAGCCAGTTCAAATCCAACCGTATCCTCCTCATCGGAGCTCTGGAGGAGAAAGTCCTGGACGTCTGGAGTATGCTGCCATTCAGCGTCTGTCTCAGCTGAAAGTTAAGATACAGATAAGTCAGCTTTTGGTTGTCAATAAAAATACCTATATGTAATGGTCATTTTAGACAAACCTTGTCCATCTGCAAAGTCACTCTCTCGAGTATCTGACAACAGATGTCTAACTCTCTTTTTCTGGTGGTCTGGTGCAGAATGGCGCCCTCCATCTGGTGGATACATATTCAACATTACAACAAAGCTCTTCCTTTGAATGTTGGTTCACAACAACTATCACTGAACATCACATTGACTCACTTAAATTACTACCTGTTGCTTGAAGTTCTGTCTGCTGGGTTTCACTGGACGACCCTGTAGATAAATCTTCATTGTTGGTCTGAGCAGCACCCACAAGAACCTCCCTCTCCTCTTCCTTCACTGGGTAGAAGATACACTGGTTGGTGCTGAACTCAGGGGTGACGTGACCATCTCTTGTTTCCCCTCTATTCATTACTGAAAAGAAAACACCATAGACATGCATCTCTTTGAATACAAAACACTCACAAGGCCAGCCTTCCAAGCAGGAGCAAGGGGATGAATAGCTTTGCTCAATTCTATCTCTAATACTGTATATATCATTGCTCTTAGTGTAAAAATCATGTTTTTTTTTTCAAAGGCAGGTACATGGTGTAAAAAAGGTAAATTATCTGTACTTGTTATCTGCATGTTTGCTGCATGCTTCCTTTATGGTGACCTTTCTGTGTTCAAATCTCTACAACAAGTATAAGGACGCTGCTGTGGTACAAACACAATAGTTTGAAAACGTAACACTGTGGCAAGCAGTAAGAAGTTTAAGCTACAAACTCTGCTAAACATCAACAAAGTCATCGTCCCATCATCCCACCCACTTGCTTACAGTGAAGCTTCCAGTCCAGGCATAATTATAGGGTCAATAAATTTGTCCATTTGTAATGTCTTTCATTTAAAGGGGTGCGTGCATTTGTGTAATGAGCTCAAGACTCAGAAAGTGACATCCTTCCCTTAAATTAGAACTCTTGCTGTGCTTTTTAGTCAAATTGAATGTATGAGATACACTGTTGATGTGCAAGTTAAAGGTCTGAAATAATATCTAAACTCTGGGAGAAGCCTAAGCTAGCGCTTTACCCATCCTTCCGCTTGTGTTGAAATGAAAAATTAACACAAAATCCCTTAAATACTATACAGTAACACAGGCTAATCTCCTTCTGGATATAGCTCCATTCATAATGTACATTAATTCCTCCCAAGTCAAAGACACACAAAGGGGTCATATGCAGTGTGGTCTAATACTTACCAGGACTGGAGGTGTTTACAACACTGACTGGCTCCACATTCCAACAGATGCTGCTGCTGCCCTGTGCGGCCTGAGTCTCATTCAGTACAAGGCTGCACTCCTCTTTCACCAGGACGGTCCTTATATCAAAGTGATGCTGGGGTTGCATACTTGCACTCTGTCTGTTTTGGCAGACCGATCCTGCCAGTGAGGGATCTGAAATAATCTCTTCAACCTTGATCTCCTGGCTCCCAAAGACCTGTACTTCATTCTCAGCCAACCTGTCCAAAACCTGGACAGAGGAAACATGTTAATTAGCCAAGTTAGATCCTTTATTGATTTTAGATGTATAACATTTGCTGGTGCAGTTAGCATCTCACCTTTCTTTGGCTGTTTCTTGCTGTCATCAGGTATGGCTCCTTGTCAGCAGTCCCTTTTGGTGTAGAGGTGACAACCTTCTCAAGTATGATACCTGGAGAGCTGTCTCTGCCGCATTCCTCTCCTTCGTGCATTTCCTTTTCATTCATTATCCCCTCTATTCTTGTCGGAACCGACTCTGGCCCATTAGGAGATTCCTCTGATGTGCAGGGCATGGATATCAAAGACATGGCAGATGTAGTAGCATTGTCTTCCTTAAATTCGGGATTGGTCCCACCTTCTTCAGTTATTTCTGAATCAGAGGTGATAGGCTGGGTTTCGTAAACTACCTGACATTCACCCTGTTCTTTTTTTGACTCTGATTCTCTGACAGCATCTCCAGCAAAAACTCTCTTCGAGACCACATCCCCTTTAAGACCCCCTTTTCCTCTTCCCCTACTTTTTGAAGCATTCCTCACAACAATCCCTTTCACTCCTTTTTTCTTCTGGACTAATACTTCTTCCTCCTCTTTTTTGATTTCCCCTTGATGGGTGGAGCATGACACAGTCTGACAAGTTTGAGGTTTTTCAGACGCTTCATTAGTAGCCTGCCCAAAATGTCTGTTCGTGCTTCTAACCTCAGAGTTGCAGGAACCATTTGATTCACTTCGGCAAACTGTGTCTTTGATGGAAGCTGAGTCATCTCTCTCATCATTTTCCCCTAAGGTAACTAAATCTTCCTCAAAAAGTAAATCCTTCTTGATATTTTCATCCAAAGTTCCATGGCCATCAGGTTCTAAGCTTTTCTTTAGGGTAACTTCTTGCTTACCCTCATCTGACGCCAAAGGCTTTCCTGTTTCTGAACTCTGTGTCAGAGTAGAAGCACTTAAAGATGATTCAGGTGGGATATTGGGATGGGTATCACTATTTATTATTTGATCATATGGTGACTGGATATCTGGTTCTATTTTAGTCCCATCTTTATCTTCGTAAGCCCTTATTTCAACATCTGAGGGTGGAACAGGTAAAGAAGGCGACGGAATCAAAGCTGGAAAAGAGACGTTTCGCTCTCTATCTTCTAATGCAATCTCTCCCATCTCAGGCTCAGTATCCCATCCTGTAGCAGCATTCATCAACCCAAGAGCCTTATTGTGCTGTATTGGAAGCTGGTAAAGATCCAACCTGGAGACGCCTTCAAATATGTTGCCATTGGTGTAAGTAAGACCAGGGCTCTCTATGACATGAACCATGGTCTTGTGCTTCTGAAGGGACGAGACATCACTGAATCTTTCCCCACAGTCCTTGCACTCTAAGGCGGGCTTTGTATGAGAAGAAGTTATTACTCCTTCAGTTTCCACTTTCGGAGAGGCTTTACGTTTCCTGGTGGTCTTTGACTTGTTTGGCACTGTCTCAAGTGGTTCACGGGAAACCTTTAATGAGGACAACAATGAAAGGGCTTTCTGGTTCTTTTTGACTCTCCCTCCCTTTTTCTTAACCTCTGATGTGGGATAAATTGTAGACTCACTTGCTGGATGTTTCAGATTGTTGTTTTTACTCTGTGAGGACATTTTTTGGGACTCATTAGGTAGATCCTCCTTTTTGTTGCTGGATGCTTTAGAAGGGTCTAACTTGTATACTTTCAACTGGGGCTGTTTATGACCTTTCAGTAAAAGAAGAGAGTCTTCCATTATGAGTGGATCTGTTATGTCTGCTGAAGTTGCGCTTGTTTTTGTCTTGTCTATTTGCTTAGCTGCCAAATTTCTTTTCCCCTTGCCCCCCTTTGCAATCTTGGGCTGATCTCTTTGCATCATTTTTACCTGTTTTTTCTTAGAAACTGTTGAGGCAATAGTATTTTGATCACCTATGTTATTTACATGCTTTGTGGCTACTTCTTTTTTCCTTTTCTTTTTTCTTGTATCCTCTTTATTTTGTTGAACCTGTGGGTCTTTGATTGATGAAGGTGACTTTATTTCAGCTGTAGAAACCAAATGTCCCCCTATCTTGCCTTTCTTACCCTTTCTCGCCTTCTTTTGTGAGGATACTTTTTTCTTTGAGAGATGTACGGTTGGTGATATACTCCTTAACACTTCTTCCTGTGTAGAACGATGCGGCTGTGATGGCTTTTTCTGTTTCTTGATCTTTTTCTCTTTGCTTTGTGGGACAAATTTAACAACAAGATGAGACTTTTTTCGTCTTTGCCGTTTGGCAGGGGCCGCATCAATTTGGAAATCGTCGTTGTATAAGGATCCAGTCAGTTCTTGCATATATCCTTGAAAGAGAAACGCCTTTGTAGATTTTCTTTTCCGCACTTTCACCAGCTCTTGAGCAGACATTATATTTACAGGTAACTCTGAAATCTGTGATACCTTTTTGGGCTCTGATTGTGGCCGATCCTCTTCTGTAGCAGATGGAGTCTCCATTTCAGACAGGTTCTCCACCTTCTCCTCTCCCTCTTTGCTTTCAACCATCGAGTTTTTGGACCGTTCTTGTTGAGATTGATCTTGTTTAGATGGTTCTTGTTCAGATGGTTCTTGATCAGCCTTTTCCTGTGTGCCTTGAGGCAAAGCTTTATCCAGGACAGGAAGGATCTGATCTTGACTCACTGTTTGCATTTGTTTATCAACCTCTGCTTTGGGATTTGTTTCAGATTCATTTGGAGTTTGTGTTTGAGTGTCTGCTAGGACAATTTCCTGATATCCATTTTGTAAAGGTGTCAACTCCAACTCAACAGTAAGAGATGAGATGGACAGGCTGGGATCAGCTTCGTCTATTACCATCTGATCTGGAGCCTGATGTGGAGTTTCCTCAAGTTCAGTAGTTGTTACCAGAGTGGATGATGAGATTTCATTTAGACTCACAGTTTGGGATTGCTCCAGCTCCTCAGTTGGTATCAAGGCGGGGTAAGTTCTAATATGACTGTTTGCTCTAAGTTTTGTTCATTTTGACAAACCATTTGATCTAAATTATCACACTGAATAGCACTAATATCAGGCTGTTGAAGAAGTTGATGCATCCCATCTCCCTCTGGTCTCTCTCTTTGTTCAGTCTGAACAAGTGTCAGTTGAATACTTTCATCAACTGCTGCTATGTGGGAACCTAGTTCTGAGAAAGATGGGTTTTCCAGCTGTCCATCCGGCGTAATGGGCTCCAGTATAATGGTTTGTTCCATTGGGTCACAGGGGTTGTTTAAAGAGTCCAATTCAACAGTCCCACATTGAGGCTGTTTCAAACCCATGAAATCTATATGGGGTAGATTGAGATTCAAATTCATAGTTTCAGACTGTTGTGATATCTGCTGAACTTCCAGGGGTGGGGCATGAGGGGGCACCTGCCCCAATATGACAACTTGGTTCACTCTCTGCACATTTCCCAAAGATTCAATGAGTCTGCGAATCTGATCTGTGTCAATATTGCAATCTACTTTTTGCAGAGGTCCATTGGCCTCCAGCTGTAGCAGTACAGGTTGGGAGATAGATATTGGAGTTATGATAGGTGTACTAGGCTTCACTTTGTGTCCGGCAGGGAGGGCCTTACTGGCTGCAGCAGGCTGCAAAGTGTGCTTAGTTTTCATGTGATGTAGCTTTGTCTTGGTACTCTTGAAGGGAGCATTGCATACAGAACAAGGATAGTTTTGAGGAATACCTAAAGATAATAAAAGGAAAAAGTTATTGCAGAGCAATATTTTCTAGATCCTGAAAGACAAAAGTGTTTTACATTTTTTTTTTTTTTTTTTTTAGGATGGAATGTAATCAAATTTTAAGGTTGATAACAAAAATCCATCAATATTTGTTTGTTTTGTATGATACCAATGCAAACAAATATCGTTAAAATTTTACAAGATGATGAAATGTGAAAGAGCATAAACAAAGATTTTATAAGTGACAGGTTTAATCACCAATATTATAAAAGGTCTTTACTACCCTGTGATAGAGATAGACAAATTGCTCATGGGTGTCATAATTATCATCTGAAATTCCATAACTGTTTTAAATTTGTAAAATATACTGTAGGCCCCGTATATACCCTGTATCCCTTATCATTTTTTAAATTTTGGTTCAGAGAATGTGGCCGAGCCTTAACATCTTAAAACCATTCATGAGAGGCTGAATATGAGTGGCTAAGAGGGGCTGTAAACTAAATGCTAGAATTAGTGTGAATACTGTTTACTATGTTAATGTGTTCAGTGTGCTTGTCAATGTGCTTACATTTGTATGCTTAACAGGACAAGTCTAGATTAGGCTGATATGATTTGTTAATATAATTACTTTGCTCCGAAACTAAATATTGGACGTATTACATTGTGACCTTTAAATTTGAAAAGGTGTCAGGTTACAGGACCACCAAAAAGATTCAAATGCGTCTTCATAGCGATATGGACATCTGTGCCATATAATGGTAATTTGTTCAAAATGTGTTGAATAATTCCCCTCACATAAATGTGAACATGATCTTAGTACTACAAGCAAGTCAAGGGATCAACAAAGTCCTTTTTTATGCTTTTGAAAACACGAATGTCTGAACAAACGTTCATAGTAACAACTTTAAAGTCGTACTCAAATTTCAGTTTGAGTCAAAGAGTGTCACTTGCTATGCATGTTAAAATCTGCATGGCTAACATGAAAACCACTCTCTAACATGGAAATGTTCTTACCCTCATCTGTCTTCAGCTGTGCTTTGTCTGCTCCATCTTCCTCGACTCCATCCTGCATGTGGGACAGTATATGTTTCTGCAGAGCTTTGGACATGTTGAATCTCCTTCCACACTCCTTGCAGATATAGGGCCTCTCTCCAGTGTGTGTGCGGCGGTGATACTTCAACAACGTCATTGTTTTACAAGCTTTGCCACAGTCCGTGCATGCGTAGCCACCCTGGCCAAAATGAATTTTCTTATGAATGGTGAGCTCTGATGATTTGTTGAAGGCCTCGCCACAGATTGGACACTTGAAGGGTTTCCTCTCCACGTGGGCCTTCTGGTGGACCATGAGCTCTGTGGAGTTTGTGAAGTGGCGGTCACAAACATAGCAGGCAAAAAGGGCATTCCTCAGTATTGATTGTTCATATTCTGCTGGGTGGCTCAGCTTCAGATGACGCTCTTTACTCTTGTGATCACTGAAGATTATGTGGCACTCGAGACACTGCAGGGAGAGCTGAGATGCTAGAAGGAGGAAGGAGAGAAGATTAAAAATAACATTAAAAAAAGACCAATATTGAAAGAAAGAATAAAGGCTTGCAAAAACGCAACTTGACTGTGGAATCTAAATGTGTTAACATTAGAAACAATATTCATCCTGGCCCAACTATTGAACGGAGACTCTACCCAGTTTAGGTTTAAGACCCATCTGTTTAGACTTGCCTGTAACTGCTTTTAATGTCTACGCTTTATGTAATAAATTCTATATAATTAAACTTTACTGACTGTATTTTATACTTTCTCTCTAGTTTACAAACGCATACAGTATATCTTCATAACACTATCTTTACAATATGTATATGAAATATTATTGGCCCATCCATAACAGTGGTCTAGTTCCAACTTTTGGTGTTTTTTGTATCTGCTCCTGAATGTCAGAAACTAACAGTACATGTCTATCTAAATGTGAGACTATATCTGTCGAACTTAGAAGTATTTTTAAATAATAGTATCTTTCGGAATACACAGTAAAAATTACTGTAATTTCCCCAATAATGTTAATTGAACGAAGACAGTTCACAACACACATATAAAGTTAAATACTCACATGTGAGAGGATTAAGTAACGGCTTGGACATGTCCATCTTCAGTGGATCAATCATTGCTTTCTTAGAGGGGACATATTTCCTTCCATCCCGGACACCTTGATCTTTTTTCTTTGAACTCTGCCCATCAGACTCAAGAGTTTTATTTCCATCAGATACAGGTTCAGTTGGGGCACTTGGCTTTGAAGCTGGCTCAGTCTCCATCCTTTCAGTATTTTCTGCGGGCTCAGTGAGTGAATGAACGGTGGGTTCATTCGGCTCTGCTTGTGCCCGTGCCACACCTGCAGATTTTTCTGCAGTTTGCACATCTGACCTGTTTTCCTGTGGAGGGACTGGTGTTTTAGTCTCAGAGGGAGCAGTGGATCTCTTTTCCTCCTCTTGTGCATCGCTTCTACTTTGTGCTGGCTGAGCTTCAGTCTGGATGTCCAGTTGAGGCTCTGCGGTTGCTGTGGCCACAGGGTTTTGTCCACTGTTTGCCTGGGTCGGACTCTGCATGGCTCTCTCTGCAGATTCTTAAATGCACTGTTAATATGAGTCTTTGTAACATCTAGGAATTAAAAAAATAAAAAAAATGTAATTATATATTACATCAATTATTATAATAATTCAACAACCTTAAACAAAAAGTTTTTTTTGCCTTAAATACATCTTTTTGTCAATATCGCGACTGCTGGGAGCCTAAAGAAGGAATGGGTTTAAAACATTTGTATTATGAAAAAAGACCAAAGGACGTGGGGGCAGCCTTTTGGGCAAGTATAACGATAACTATAACATAAATAAATAACACAATTTTATTAGCATGAATCGAGACTTTTCCCAACACAGGCTCATCATTTGCTGAACTAATTTCTCCATAATAATCACGGATACATTGATAATAATAGCCCGGTGCTAGCTTCCTCTGATATGCGGTTATAAGGACGAATATAAACATTTCCGGGTTGTTGATGAGCCAATTAAGCTAAATATTATCTCATCTCGACGGACCCGGTTGCACAGACACCCGTACAGCTTTATGGATGCAGGAGTGTGTACATTTTACGTTACCTATGCTGACTCCTCGGCCCAAGCATCTTCGCGTCGCTTAGCACAAAGCGTATACAGAGAGCAGCTGCAGACACCCTGACGTCACGTCTGACGTATCCCGCAAATGGTTCATGGGAAATGTGGTTTGACAAGATTAAACAAGAGCAGCCTTCTTCTTCTTTAAATCGTTACCAGGCGGAGCATTATCGCCACCTACTGTATCAGTCAAGAATTACGTAGAAAAGCTAAAATGGGTTTCACAGTAGCTGTCGTGCATGTTTTACACTTTAAGTAGCCAAAGTATTCAAAATCTCCCATTTTAAAGCTGTAACAAAAATAACCTTAGTCATACACGGCCTAACTTAAAATCTTGTGTGGTTCATAATTATTAAGGTTATCTTTATAAGCAACCACACAATGAATACTTTGTGCAAATCGTTGTTTGTTTTCCTTGATAAAAACGATATTTTTTTAATATTAAATTTTCTCATCCTTTTTTAACTGACTAAACCAGCCTACAGCACTAAGGTTCTGGTTCTTTGAGAGATCAGGTTCTGGTTCTTTGAGAGATCAGGTTCTGGGTAGAAAATAAGTTCAGTCTCCTTGCAAAAGTACAATTAATATCCAGTTGGCGGCGCTATTGCAGTTTGTGATGTAAATAATCCTTCACAGTGATGGACACACTCAACTCAACATTGCCGTACATAGACTAGTTCACAAAAACCTTTCTCTAAATCCCAAAATAAAAAGGTTCTTGGGCACACAGTACTACACTGGTGATTTTACAAAACATTCAATTAGGCTATTTGTAAGAGTCATTCTATTGCTTGAACATGATATGTAGGCTATCATTTTCTTGTATGTCACTGTACAGTTCTTGTGAACCAGTCATTGTATGTTGTGTTCAAACTGCTCAGTATGGCAAGCTGATCAACCAGTCATGAGCTCATAACAAATGTCTATTATGATTTAAGGGAATGTATGGAAGTGTCCATCTACTATTCATCTACTTTCAATGTTTTAATAGCTCAGCCTCCACTTTGAAAACTTTTGTATTTTACACTTCAAACAGCTCATTTTGGCAGACTTATCAATCACATGTAAAGAATTAGGTACATTACTTTCTGTCTGTGTATGTCCTCAGTCATCCAGGTCATAGTAAATTAGAGGCTTGGGTGTGCCCTTTGTCATCTTCAAAGTGTCCTTTGTGCTTCAGATGTAAGTGGACAGGAGAATACTGTCCTGAAGAGCTGGCGATCCTATGCTCTGTCATGTGTTTGTGTTTTGTCAAGTTTTTTCGGATAGTCCAGACAAGTATGGAATTGCAATAGAAACATCTTAGGGAAGCATCTTAGTGGTTAGCCAAACTGGGCCTTCATCAAGACTTTCAAAAACCAGAGCTCCAACAAGGAAGAGGAAAAACCAACATCACAGCAGTGTAATTCCATACTTGTATGGACTTTCCCAAAAACTCAAGAGGATATTTCACAGACGCAACATCCTGGTGCCCTTCAAACCATCCCAGCAAATTGAAGCAGAAGTTGGTCCATCCCAAGGACAAAGCTCCCAGGTATAAAGAAAGCAATGTTGTTTTGCGATCCAGTGCCTAAGAGAGCCAGCTCTTTGGGACATCATTCTACTGTCTACTTACATCTGAAGGACAAAGGACACCCCTTTGAATATGACGAAGTGCACATCCTGGCCAGGGAGGACCGTTGGTTTTAACAATGTTTTGATTAAGATTATTAAGTTTAAAGCATAGAGTCAGACAGAAAAAATAAACAAAACAATACAGGGCTTACAAATGTCCACTTTGGAACATGTGACCCCAACAACCCACAGATGACCGGTATGGTTAACAACTCTAGGTGGAACATAGTCACCTCTATGCTATGCATATTTACCTCCCAAATATCCTGTCAGTTGTTTAAAACTCTCCATTTGACCACTGCACAAAGAAACCCACAGAATTTTTTTAATGCATTTTATTAGGTTTTCAAAATAGAGGGAGGTAGCTTTACCACTGATTATGTCACTTTGATCATGAAAATATCCTCCGTTTAAAATACAAAAATGAAAATCATGTAATTGCTTTATGCTGTTCAGTCTTCCTCTGCTGAACACACCAATACATTATTATCAATCACCCATGGATTACGTACATATTTTGGTGCAAGAAGATATATCAAAATTGTAAGAAACTGCAAGTTACAAAAATAATAAACTCACTAGATACACAATGTTTTAAAAATGAGTCAAATACCATCTTTACATTGTGTTTCTTAGCCCGAGGCACCTGTGTGAAAAAAAATGCTACCGTCAGCTTTCAACCCTAGAAATCATCATGTGGTATCGGCACCTCCCCAGTAGCATGTTTTATATAATGCATGTGCAGCTTTCCTACTTCATCAAAGCCCATATCACATACACAACACTCCCACTCCCACTCCTCATGCTCTCTGTACATGATTATGTTTTGTGTCTCAATCTCTTCCAGTTGCTGTCCCGTTTGTAGCTGTAAAGTTTCTGATCCCAACTCATCGTGTCTATCAGATCCAGGCGACTTGGATACATATGGCTTTTTGACTCTGCTTTCCTCAGTGTAATCTTCCTTTCCTGGCAGCTCATCCATGTTTGTATCCATTTTCTCATCGACACTATTGAGACTAAGTCTCTGCTTTTTAACCCCTAGCTTTTTGGTAATAATAGCAGATTTCTTTATACCAACAGGCATCCCACTGGATCCAGCATAAACTCTAACGTGCTTTTTTCGATGTGAAACAAGATTTCCAGGATGGGAGAAGGCTTTCCCACAAATTGTGCACTGGAAAGGTTTTGCTCCAGAGTGGGTGTTGTAGTGATGCTTAAGCTCTGTATGCAGGCGGAAGCTCTTGTTGCAAATATTGCATGCATGTTTCTTAAGACTGTGACTCTGCAGGTGTTTTTCTAGCGCCTCTTCGTTAAAAAACCCTTTGTTGCAACTTAAACACCAAAACGGTTTTAGTTCATGGAGCTCAAGGTGAGCCATCCATGACTTTTCAGACCTGAAGCTTTTGTTACACTGATCACATTTGAGATATTCCGATTTTAACAGTATACTTGACCTGTGAATTCTCATGTGACCCTGTAGCCGCGCTTTCCTGAGAAATGCCATACCACATTCTGGACACTCATATTGAGTTAAGTTCGGGACACTTGTATTTACAGTAGCCTTTTTGTTATGAATCTGTTGGTGTTTCTTGAATGATGAGAGGTATTTATAAACCTTACCGCAAACAGAACAAGAATTAACATTCCTGCGTTTCTTCTTCTTTGAGACAGCGGCAACTTCAACGCCTGGTATTGAGTCGGAGGGGTTTGTTTGCAATGAACTGCTTATGTAAGAGCTATTTTCATCACAACCTATGTCTTTATCAGTGTTTTCACCATCTACCACTTTCTCAAAGTCCAGTTGTTCCTCATGGATCCTGTTGTCGCCCTTCCCGACTTCCTCCTCCTCCTCCCCGTCCTCTTCCAGGGCATGCTGGTGCAGGTGATTTTTGAAAACCTTTCGGTCTGCAAACTTCAGTCCACAATCGATACAAGCAAGGCTGCTCGGTTTGACTACAAAAGAAGGGGGAAAGACAATTTAGATCATTTACAAGTTAAAATCTCAACACGTCATATGCTGTATTTTCTTCATCAGGACTTTGTTAAGCAAGCAGACAGCTTAATTTATGAAGGACATTTTTTCTACAATCTTCTTGCAAAAAGGATTCAATCTTGTCACTACTGGTTAAGTTACCGAAGTTCAACTGCAGCAGGTGAATCTTACAAGACTTCGGCTCTTCTCTTTGTACAAATATTGGGTGACAGGGATAGTGCGCAATAAAACATACAAGTCCTGTTTTGCCTCATTTAATGAAAGTCGAGTATTTATGAAGAATCTACCAAGACTTAAACTCGTAATTATGGCAGCACAATTGCTACTTGGGTTTAATTTATTTTGAGATAGTTTGCATGTGTTTCAAAATCAAATCAGTAAACAGACCAACCTTAAATGTTTCATGATCAGAAGACATTTGAATAGTGAATTGAATTTCAAGTTAAATATTGATTTGTTTGAGTACTTTTACAATTCTTTTGCTACTTTACTGTGAAATACTTAAAAAAGGATAAAAAAGAAAATACAACCATTATTTTCCTGTAATAAAATGTAAGATTTAAAATGTTTTGAAGGCTGTTAACTTTTTCATTGTTTTACACTTGAAAACACTTCTATCTATTCTGGATGCACAAGATAAAGAAAACAGGCTGGAGTCATTAATCAAGAAATGTAAATATATTATAATAACTAGATTGATAATTATGAAATCACATAGATTGACGTAACTGACACAGAATTAATCAAGCAACCCAAAAGTTCAGGAGAAATTAGTCAATTTATTTGAACTTTCAAGAGAACGTTTTCATCTTTGTTTCATAAACAAGTTAAACAGGTAGTCTAATGGGACATGTTAGTCACCTAGAGAAATCCTATTAATATATAACACCTCTGCTACAATGTAAATACTCCTTTCCATCTTACAACTTATTAACAACCACTCGACATGAAAGCATCATTTAGTTTTAGTCATCAATACTCTTTCCAGGAGGAAGCTACCACTGGAGCTTTTAAAAACAGTTAATGCTAAACATCTTGTACACATCACACGATTACTTGATTGTGAAGTTGGATTTCTAGTAGTTATTGGCTGTAATCTTCAAAATCACTTCTTTCATTCGACCAGTTTACCATAAAAATGCAGATTATTGAATTTCATGTCTTCTCTCGTTACTGGGCAGAGAATATATTGTTCTGCAAACCCTCAGTAAAAGTGATCACAACAGCTACACATGAGTGTTTTCAGTATCTTCAAAAGCTTTGTTATAAGTAGTTTGCCACATTCATTTTTGCAAGATTTAGGTTACATGCACAAATGTTGCAGATTTTTTTTTACTACATCTAGATATGATGTACCATACATATAGCATATCACATAACCAGGAGGAGAAAAACCAGGGCAAAGAGATCAAACTGAAGAAAATCAAATGGTTAAATTTAACTCCTTTTATGTGATCTAAACACAACTTTACAGAGGTTCTCTTTAACATTTAAACATGTACTATTCCAGTGTAAATAACAGCCCAGGTAAAGGAATTTTACCTCAAGAACTTAACAACATAAAGAATCTTAAATATACAATCAAAACGGGAAAGCGTTTGTCTACCTCAGCAAAACAAAATAGTCTTAGTCTCTAGTCAAAAAAGTCTCTTGCAGTGTCTTCAACTCATCTTAGTCCTTTTCAGGTAGTTCAGTCTAACACGCTTTCCGGGCGTGTTCAGTATAGTGCTGGTGCAAATCAGTTTCTAGGCAAAAAGTAGTCCCACATTCGAGGCAAGGAAGGCCACTGGTATCTCCAGATGAGACAGCAGCAGGTGCATCACTCTGCTTTCTGTAACCACCAATACATTCCTGGTGATGATCAATAAGGTCCTGTATTTCACTGAAGGTCCTGGGGCAAATAGAGCAGTGATACGAGTCATTGTTACAGTGCTGAGTTTCGTGTTTCTGTAACGCAGATGGTGAAAGGAAGGTTTTGCCACATTGTTGGCACTTGTGGCTGTTTTGTGACAGGCTTTCTGGTGTCACTGAAAAGGATGGAAAGGACTTTCCTTTGGTGTCAGCAGAGGGCATTATTGGTTTAAGAGGCCTAGAGCTCAAAGCAGCGCTGAGCCTAAAGCGGACTTCGTTCGGGAGACGACACCGGACTTCATCGTGCCAGGCAAGATGTTGCTGCAGCTGATTCTCAGTCCAAAAGCCTTGGCAGCACAGGGCGCAACAATATGGCCGGCTCTTTGCCTTGGTCTTATGGCTTCCTAGTTGTTCCTCTGTTTGGAAAGCTTTCCCACACTTATCACACTTGAAGAGGCATTTGGCTGCATGCTCAGACAAGCGGCCAAGAGATTGTGAACTGTCTGCGGATGTGTCGGGAGATTGGATCCCTTCATTAGGCTCATGTTTTACCTCCAGGTACGCTTTCTTCTGGTCTAAGCGGGTGCCTGCAGGACTGCACTGCTCTCCACTGTCAAGGCATGAATTCAATTTCACAGGCGAGGGGTCCAATCTAGTTTTCTTCTCCTCGTTGTCGACGGAGCTATTTTTCACTGCTGAAATAGCATTTTCTGTAACTGATGAATCCCCCTTCTCTCTAAGGTCCCTACTTGAGGCAATGGGTGTCTTTTTGCTCAAAATAATCATTTTCTTGCTTTTTTTGCTGTTCGAGTGAACCTGCCATCTGTGTGCACGCAGACCTCTTGCTTTAGCAAAAGTCATAGAGCAGAGGGGACATTGGTGCACTTTGTGCTTCAGAGTTGATGACATGGACTCACTCTTATTAGAGTTCACATCCACCTGCTGGGGGAGCTGGTCAACCAAGATGGGTCCGTCCTCTTGAAGGTGTGCAGCCGTGCAAGTTTTACCATGCTCATTTTCAAAGTGAGCAGCAAGAAGTGAGTGCTTCACAAATGTTTTTTTACATTCTGGGCATGACAACTCAGGATTTTTCAGTGTACTGCTGCTCATGGTACTTCTGTCTGCATCAGGCTCTGGCTCAGTTTTGGTTTGACACTGATGATTAAACATCTGGTGGCGCTGAAGAACACAATGGTTAAAGAACTGTTTGCTGCATTGGTTGCAATGAAAAGGTCCACCTTCAGTCTTCTGGCTGACAGATTTGAAATCATCATCTTTTAGCAAAGCCCGTGAAATTTTCTTTTCTTTGTGCCATCTTTTGTGGGAGCCAAGGGCTGAGTTTGACATGAATCGCCTCCCACATTCTGAGCAGTGAAATAGTCCTTTACTCGAGTCTTCCTGTTTAAATTTATTTATAACCGACATAGACAATTTTGTTTTTACTACAGGTTTGTAACCCTCTACATGAATTCGTTTATGCAAATTTAATGCTCCAATCACTGAAAAGCTTCTGTCACACTTTTTGCATTTGTATTTCAAATTGGTTGTTCTTGAGTTTTTTAAGTTGCCTGTTTCATTTCCCATATTTTGCTCCTCACTTCCAATTTCATGCCTAAAGGACTTTTGCTTAGACATTTCCTGTGTCCTAGCCTCCATATTATTCTGGTTATCATTCTCTAGGGGCTCAACCTTATAATCAACAGATTGAACTTCTCTTTTCTTGCAAAGTTTCTGATGAGCCCTCAAAGAGGCCTTGTTGTTGAAATGTGCAAGACATGTTGCACACTGGAGATCCTCCAGAGCAACAGAGGATCTGGGCGACGATGGCGAGTGTGAGGTCTCGTAGCCGTGGCTCTTCATGTGAAACTGAAGAGCTTTGGCCCGGGAAAAAAGCTTCCCGCAGTCAGGACAGCTGTATGTGTTCTTTTTTAACTGCTCCACCTGATGCTGAAAAGACTTAATGGGCGGTGGGAGTAACTGGTCATTATGAACTACCTGGTGTCTGAGGAGGCTGGAAAAAAGACGAAACGACCTGTTGCACAGTTCACATTTGTGATTTCCGTTTTCGTGTTTTCGCATGTGTAATGCCATGATGCCCTTGTGACGGAACTTCATACCGCACACTGGACAAGCAACCTTAACACTGGAGCGAGGGTGTCTATTAACTGAGTGTAAAGAACCTGAAACTCCTTTTCTTAGCCTTAAATCTACACATTGAATTGGATTTTGCTTGTGATGTGAGTAAGCTCCCAGAGACCAAAAACCCTTCCCGCACTGTTCACAATGATAAATCTTTGGGCCTAAAAGGGTTTTCTTTGGATTGTACTCTTTTTTAGTGACAGAAATGTTCTCTTTCTTCTGTGCAGAACAGTTTTTCATATGGTTAAATAAGCTCGCAGCATAGGAGTAAGACATCATGCAATCAGGGCATTGGAATTGTTTTTTTTTGGGATGGTGCAACTGATGAGAGACTAAAGCAGATAATCGCGAGAAGCCTTTACCACACTCATTGCATGCCAAATGTTTCTTTTCTGAGCCCTCTGTTTGATACATTAAGTCATCATTTGTGTTTTGATTATTGTGTTGATGAATGTGACTGTAGTGTGCTGCAAAGCTACTGGCTTCGTGGCCGTACGTGTCGTTTGTGTGAACTGACGCTGACTGACCTTGAGGCTGTTGTCTTCTCTTACGGATGCTGTGCCACATTCTGTGAACACGCAGTGATGAAGCACTAGTAAACCACCGGTAACAATCTGGGCAATCAAATCTTTCCCCAGTTGTGTAATTCGCCGGCTCGCTCTCAATCGGTGCACTCTGCATGTCAGATGGCTCGAAGTCAATTTGTACAATTTTCAAATCCATCTCTGGTTTTGAAAAGATTCTGCTGTGGAGGTTTCCAGTGTCACAATCATCTCTTTGTTCATGATCTGATTCGCACAGAAGCTCCAGATCAGGATTCAAGTCTTGGGCTGGTTCGTCCTCAGATTCACTTGCACTTATCACCTGTACATTAAAGTCCCCAGGTTCATAGCTCTCAGCATCTTCATCCATCTCAACTACATCCAAGTCTTCTTCTGACACACTGGTAGGAATCACGTTCTCTGGTTCCTTTTGTTCCTGCTCAGTGTCTTTTCTCTCACTTTCTGGACTGTTCTGTTGGGGAGGAAGGGAGATATTGCCCCCCTTCTCTGTTTCTCTAAAATTTTCTGTGTGGTGGATCTGATGGGAGTGAAGTGCTGAAGCCCTGGAGAATTTAAGCCCACAATCTTTACATTCAAATGCTTTCTTTTGCAGCTGACACACTTGATGAAGAAAAGACTTTGCAGGGGTCTCATCACTGTGCGCCATGCGCTGATGTCTGTTGTAGAATGTTAGAGTCATAAATACTTTTCCACATAATTCACATGGAAACCTTTTTGCAGGATCATTTGAGATATTAGAATGCCATCGCTGATGATTGAAGAGGGCTATATGACTATGAAAAGCCTTATTACACTCACTACAGTGAAACTCACTGCAGATTTTCTTTGGTTTTTCTCTCATTTCCTCTGGAGAGCATAGCATGTTGCGGCTGAATCTTTGATGTGTTTTAAGACGCACCAGAGCAGGAAATGCTTTTCCACATGAACACTTGAAAGGTTTTTCCGGAGTGTTGTTGGTCTGGTCTATAGTGGGCTTGGCATCAACCGTTGACTCATCAACGGGAAATGAATCTCCTGAACTCCTGTTGCGTGCCTTTACGAGCTTTTCCTCGTGACAACGACGATGTGCATCAAGAGCTGAGGCACGTGAATAACTCCGGCCGCAAGACTCACACTGAAATGACTTCTTCTTCAAATGTTCAAGGTCATGAAAAACAGATTTTGAGGCTAGCGTGTGTGATCGCTGATGGTTGAGAAAGTGTCCGAGCACACCGTAACATTTCCCGCAGTCACTGCATTCATATGTGTGTTGATTTGTTTTCCCAGTGTTTAGTTCAACACTGGAGTCCTTTTGGGAGCTTTCACCATGTTCCTTCTCCATGTGCAAGTGCAACTCATTTAATTCAACAAATGAGATTGAACATAAAGTGCAGAAATGAGCCGTGTCTCTGTCCTTTTCTGCATCATGAAAACCATCAAATGGTTTGTCTAAATATTTTTTTTCTTGCAGGTGCAGATGCTGATGCTCCAAGTAGGCTGCCTCTTCTCTGAAGGCTGCTCCACAATCCCCACAGGAGAAAACCCCAACCCCTGAAAACAGAGAGGGGAAAGAAGGAAGTCAAAGCCACTCCCGATTCCAGTGAAAGACAGACCAACAGATCAAAAAACAAAAACAGAAAAAAAATCCAACATAAATTACAATAAATAACTAAAAAACAACCACAAATACAATGAGGCAAATTAAGTATTTATTTTAAAATATGAGTAGAGATCACAGTTTTATCAAAAGCCTTGGAATTAATTGCAGAGGGGCTAACAACTCAGTGCATAAGCCAAATGACCTTTTTAAGTTCAAGCAAGGCAAGCGTTCAGTTACTTGAAAGGATTGCAACAGAACCTGTTGCATTTTTAGGCCCCAACGGTAATAACGTGTGGTACTGCACAGTTGAGTTGTAAAAAACTGTGATTTTCTTTACTGAGATACTTCAAAGAGAGAATCATATCATTAAAGCAAACACTAGGATTATTCTTATTTAAACTGGCTACATTTTAATACCTGAGTGCATTAGGTAGGAGATGCATTTTGTTTAAACAGCCATATATGTTATTATTATTATTATTATTATTATTATTATAGGCAGGTCATTAACCGCATGGCAGCACATGTAGAAAGGCTGAACCAGTATGTAGAAGAAAACACAACAAACAAAACACTGATGCTGACTGCAAGTGGCACTGACACTCAGTACACAAAAAGAAAGCCAACTAATATTGTTTACGTGCAAGCAGTTAAAGCAGGAACCCAACTAACAACAAAAATAGATTGTACAAAAGCCCCTTACTGTTCTCTCTACACCAGCAGCACACAACTTTTAGATCTTCTTGCATTTCTTTTTCCTACAAAATGCAGATTAACTCCCTCATTGTTCATTACATTATTGAGAACATGTCAATTAACTTAAAAACTATCAGTATCAATATTCAAATTTACAGACATTATTGACTTTTTAGTAAAGCTGTGTTTTCTCAAAAACCTTAATTGAATTGGATTTTAATTCTTTAGGTCAAGATTTCATTCAATATTCTCTATTGACCAATATGCATTGATATTGATTCAATCATACACACAGATGACAGAAAATCAGAAAATGAATGACTGTACCTTCTGATAGTTGTTATACAATAATGTGTGCATTACTTGTATTGGTTTGGAATAAAGTGAGTCCAAAAAATATTTTACGGCTGTGTAGTCAAGTGGGGCCTGTGTGCAACACAAATGAGGAGTCTTCATTACAATGGAAATAACTGCTTTCAGGATTTTCGGAATTGAATCGAGAAAATAAACATTGATTGATGTTTCGATTTTTTTTTACTCAGCAACTAGTTTTAAGGCTGTACACATTCCTTGGCTTTTCACACCTTAATTGAGGAATTAGCCTCAAATGATGTATTGTATGATAATTTTGCTTACAAAAGATCTGCGTGGTTACAGTTTAAGCACTTTCAAGAAAAAAAAACCACTTTAAAAGACACTTTAGTCTTCCACAAATATGTTCTTGTACTCTCTATCTTATTACCCCCTGAAAATGAAACCCTAATGAAGTTTGAACCCTATTTTTTTTTTACCTACTGCAATTGCACTTTATTACGACTCCCCTTTAAGTATGGACAGAAGACATTTAAACTTTAGCCCGAGCTGCATATATCAAATTGTATTTTGCACTAGTATATTTGCACACTTGTCTGCTTTATTAAATAATAATTCTTTATTTATCTATCATACTATGCACTGGCAGAGCTGGTATTCTGTACTGTTATCTATGAGTAACAGCTACTTATGCACATGGACCATCCACACCACTTTTTTTTATCCTGGCTATGTATTGTGGGCTCATGTTTTTTGTATGGGTGGGTTATGTGTGTATATATGTGTTGTGTGTTTGTATGTATGCTGGTTGCTGGAACACCTAAATTTCCCTGCTGGGATGAATAAATTATATCTTATCTTAAATGGGAAACAAATATGTTTCAAAATATCTGAAAAAATAACAAGACTAGATGAAGCTGCTTCAGTATTTTAGGGTCATGGTAACTTTAAATTTAAACATTGACAGACCATTCCTTGTATAATGCATAGATGCAAACGAGCTTTTTCAATATTGACTTTTGACCAATTGAAAACCAAACGTTCTGACTACATGGGTCGAAATAAAAGCAACATTATATTAAGTACAATTATTAACACATAAAAAATCGATATGAATAATGTTAACATTTAAAAATAATTCCATATGGGTGTAAATCATGTTTAATGCTGACTGTTCTCGTCCAGAAGTGTTTTTTAATCCCTCACTGAGGTCGGAGGATATCGATGCGCCTGAACACGTTTTATTAAATAATTATCAGGTTTACTTTTAATTGACCGCGCCTGGATACTTACTTTCAGCAGTGTCCTCAGCCGATGCACACACACTGTTTTCAGATGCTGAGTCTCCATTGTGGTGTTTCTTCTCAGTTCCGTCCTCTCTGACCGCATCAGCCGCAGCAGCTCCGTCCATCTTGGCTCTGTTTAGTACTGCTAGCTCACTTTAGCCTGCTCTCGTTAGCATCACGCCGCCACCCCTGTTTATTTTTATTTTTTTAAACTGCAATCACCCGACTCAATACGGGAAAAACCATAAATACGCCTGCGGAGCAAGTAGCGTAGTTATGTTAAATTCTTAAATTAATAAAAGATTAACTGTAGGCTAGGGTTAGCTGTCTCACGCACACTTTGCGTTAGGTAGCAGCGCGACCGTCACCGGAAGTCGACTCTTCTTCGGCTGTTACTTTTCAATCAATGAAAAATATGACTGGAGGTTAATCAACTGATAATGATCTGAATCAAAAACACCATTTCAATTTGATTAATGCCAAATTATTTATCTGGCGGAAGCTTCCATCCCATCAGATCGGATACTTCTATAAATGTGTGAAATTTGACCCCACCCATTGACTAACATTATTATTATTTCCCCACACTACTATTTTCAGGCGTGGCTCATTCAGAATTACACCTTGACACCTCAAATACAGAGGAAACAGTCAATGGGATTCTGGGATATGTTTCAATGATTACCATTAGGAGTTTCCATCTTCCAATCAACCAGTTAATGATGACTTATTGCATGTACTTCTGCTCAGCCTCCAAGTATAATATTAAAGAGATTTAATTTTTCTCTTCATGATTTGCGTTCATTGAGCTTAATGAATTCTGCAAACTAATACTTCATATTTTAACAAATTCTAAACCTTAAATCAGATTAACCTCACAAGTAAAGTGCAACACAAAATTATAATCAAAGGCAAGTTTTATTAATTACAATATGTAGACATCATGGGAAATTTCTATTTCTTTCCATGCTTAAACAGTGGATAGAGGTAGAAGGACACATGTTTTTTAACCTTCAGACTCTAAAGGTCAAGACACAAAGGGACAGTTTTCTTTAACAAATTGACCATGTGTTTATTTTACAGTAGAAATTAAGATTTTCAGTCAGTTTTTGGGCAACCGAAGCTACTCAATGGCCCGTTGTTGTAAGAGGAGACGGGATTGTGTACTAAATCTACAGTTATGGAATGAAGTCATTCAGTATTCACAAAAAACACAATGAATTGTACTCAAAAGCAGACATTGTTTTATAAACATGGATCAATTCCAATCTGAAATACTCATTCTGTTAAGAGATGCACAATGCATCTGATTCGCACAGTGCCAAATAGTGCCGCCCAGAATCACTTTGACATAGAATTGTCAAGTACACATCATCTGAAAATGGACTGATGATAGCATATCATCCACTTTATAACATCAGTTTATGTTCGTTTTGCCATATTTAATATATTAATGACAAATCCTCACATATAGCCAAAGTCAATTTAAATTAAAAAAAATCACAATTTAACAACAGTGTCATCAATCATGTTTTAAAGCAACTTTCTCCCTTTTTCTTATAATCTTAAGAGTAACATTTGTACTGAGAAAGGATGTAAACATCAGATTTGTTTACACATTATTTTGTTCTTTCCAAATTTACCATGATGTGAACTTTACTTGAGATATTTGGACATTCGCCCTGTGAATAAAAGTGCTTCCTAACAAGGCTGTACTGTATGCAGTCAGCTTTTCATTGTTTTTCTGACGCATGTAATCTTTGGGCCCAACAATCCACCCCCCTCCTCAAAAGCAAAAACTAACAATTCCTTACAGGATGTTGGAAAAAGTTTGTGTTCAGGGAGTGAGGTCACATTGTTGAGTCTACTTTAAGCACAAACTAGGCCTAGAATATCAAGACAGCAGACATGCAGACTGTACTTATAAAAGGCACACAGTATACTGTACATGAAGAAACAGTTTCAGAGACATATGAACAGAGCTAAAAAAAATACTATTATATCTAAATCTAAACGTCATAGGCAATAAATGAAATGAAGAGTGTAAGACCTCAACTATCTGCACCACCAGGAGTTGTTTAAACCAGGTAAGTATTTGTATTACTTTAATGCATAATAAAAGATGGTGAAAGTAATTAAATGGCACATATATGCATCAATCTTAACAAATTTTCATAAATCAAGTTTCACTTTTATATTTTCTTTCTAATGCCCAGCCACTTGACTGGCCAAACAACACAACTAAGGGTGAAATAAATGAGGTCCCACTGGGGTAAAAAATATTTTGAAAAAACTAAGTTTTGTTGCTAGTGTAGAAATGTCATATCTCCCCTTGTGCATGTTGCAAGTAATGCATTTGCAGATCCAGCTCCCGTGGTAGAGAGCACCCACATATCATGCACTGGAGGAGCCGTTCTGGGGCAAAAGGCAAACGGGGTCCAAGTTTGTGAGGCTCTGTCGGAGGGGCAAGCTGAGGTAGGGCTAGAGTCTGTGGCATGTGTGACCTCTCGCTCATGACTGCCTGTGGCGTGAAAAAAATATTTGGGTGTGGCGGCCTTGAAAGAGCACCAACTGCGACAGAGTGAAGAGGGTGAGAGCCAGGCAAAGCTAGAGAAGGGGGGAGTGGAGCAAGTGGAGAGGAGAAAAAGGGGGAAGGCTGATTTATGATTATTTGAGTTCCTGATACCATTGGCTGTTGCTGCAGCTCCTGTCCATTCCCTTGTTTGAGTTGCCCAGTGAGCAGCGTTGCAGGACCCACAGGATTACTTTGGAAGCCCCATACTGGTGTTCCCATCCCCTGGCTGAAACGATGAGGCTCGTATTGAATGGAGATAGGAACCTTCTGTGATGTCTGGCTTTGTACGTTGGCCCAGCCAGACAACACCTGCTTTTGCTGCAGCTGAAAATCTTGATTATTTACTAATTTCTCAGAGTTTATGGTCTTTGGAATACCCGGTGGTGTTTGTATATCCCACAAGGTGCTACCTACCCCGTGAGAAACAGGAGTTGAAATTGGCATTGCACTACTTTGGTCTATTTGAGCTGATGTCGATGCACCCGTTAAGCCTGGAGCCCACTGCTTTTGCAGCTCACAGCCGTTCCATGGCTTCTCGTGCTGGCTAACAGTCGATGGTATAACCTGAGGGTTACTCAGGTCCCACACTCTACTGTCCTCTTTTTTAGGAGGTGTGGACGGCTCCTTTTGTGTTGACACTGGGGAGCCTGGCCATCTTGCCAGCTGAAGCTCCGGACAAAACTTTGGCGAGCTCTGTGAATTTGCCAACAGTGCAGGTCTGATACTCCACAGTGCTGCCGCATCTATATATGACGGAATAGAAAAATCATGCTGCAAAGAGCTTGTGGAAGCTAAAACTGTGGATGTGGGTGGGCTACTCCAAGTAACAGGTTTGAGCTGCCTCTGCTGCTCCATCTCGCTCACTCCTAACGGGCTGGATTTTTGTGGTACAGCTGCCAGGAAGGAGCTGACAACAGAAGCTGGACTTTCTTTCATTTGTGATGATTCGGAGCTCTGAGCAGATGTGGAGCCTGACTGAGATATCGAAGGGCTATCAGCCCAGCCTGGACTCCTCTGGTGGTGCTGCTGCTGTAGGCCTGAAAGTGGCGGGCTCTCAAACTGTGTTTGCTGTGGAGCTGCGAGCTGCTGCTGTGATGATGGGACAGGCATTACCTCATCACCGTCGACCTTCCACTGCACCGGTTGAGGTTGAAGGTCAGGCAGCCATGGCTCTTTCTGCTGTCTGCTTTGTAAATCTATGCGAGATTGGAGCATGGAGGATTGTGTCTGGATTGCCCTTCTGTGCAACTCAGCATCTCTCAGTGCAGAAACTGGATAAGGAGATGCCTGAGAACTAACGATCCCTGAGCCCCCTAATTGTCTAGACCAGCCCCACCTCTCTCCTCTCCTCCCCCTGCTGCCCCTGCCTCTCATCCTAGTAGCCATGGGGAAAGAATTATACTGGCTGAAACCCTGCCGCTTGCGATTGTGGATTTTCTGGTGCACAAGAAGGCTGCTAAACCAGGAAAAAGATTTATTACACTCATTGCAGTGATGGGGTCTCTCCCCTGTGTGTGTGTTCATGTGATCCCGGAGCAGATAGGCCAATCCAAAGCTCTTATCACACTGGTCACACTTGTGAGGTTTGTCACCATTGTGTGATAACATATGTTGCTGCAGTTGGGTTTCATCGCTGTAGCCTTTGCGGCAACTTGTGCAGCGAAACGGTTTTTCCTGATGCAGCTTCTGGTGTGTTTTCATGTTCTGCATAAAGGCAAAGTCCTTCCCACAGTCGGGACATTTGTATGGCTTTTTGCCTGTATGGATGATGAGATGCTGCTGTAAGTAGCTACTGAACCTAAAGCCCTTGCCACACACTTTGCACTGGTAAGGCTTGTCCTTGGAATGTATGCGCATATGCAGCTCTAACACTGAGCGGTGGCGGAAAGTCTTGGCACACTCAGAACATTTGTAAGACTTCAGACCTTCGCTTCTCCACTTTCCCTGCACAGTTCCGCTGCTTATGGGAATAATTTGTTTTTTAGGCGGGGCTTGTACCTCTTCAGCAAATTGTGTTACAGACTTGTGGACACTTAACAGATGTACATTTAAAGCAGATTCTTCACGAAAAATACTCGGGCAGTGGGGACAGGTGAGTCCTTTCTCCCAGACCTTGTTAATCTCAGTCGGGGGTCTGGGTGTTCTCTCCAGCTTCTCATACTCAGCTTCGTGAATCAGCATGTGAGCTCTCAAGTTGGCCGGTGCCAAATATGTTTGGGGACAAAGGGGGCAGTTAAATGTACGTTTGGCTTCCTCAATCTGGTGCGTGTTCTCTTTCCCCACCCCTCTAACTGCCATATGTGGGGCCACAGGGGCCTGCTCAGTGGTTAAGTTTGTTTGCCGACGTCTATGCTGGCGACAGTGTGCCTTCATGTTCTGGGCAAAGGCAAATTTTTTACCACATTCAGGGCAGCGGAAGGGTTTCTGGCCTGTGTGCAGATACTGGTGCTGATGGAGGAGGCTGCTGTATTTGAAGGCCTTACCGCAGATGTTGCACAGGTGAGAGCGTGTGTTGTCTGTGTGCTTGCGACGGTGGTCTTCCATGACCGAGTAGTGTTTGAAGACCATGCCGCATTCAGGGCACTCGTAGGGTTTCAGGGCCGTGTGACATCGCTGGTGGTAGCGCAGGACCATAACGTTCGGGAACGTTTGACTGCACTCTTGGCATGTAAATTTTCTCTCCTGGGAGTGTGTCATCATGTGCTTAGTGACAGACGCCCTAAACTGGAACTCTTGGCGGCACAGGGGGCAGTGGTAAGGCTTTTCTACTGTTTTGAAGCAGTTATGGTCTCTCAGCTTATCCACTGTCGAGAAGATCTTCTCACACTCTGCACATTCAAAGCTACCCACTTCCATGGTTTGCGCTTCCTTTTTGGGAACGAGGAGCTGCTCCTCCTTTTCTTTGTGTTCGTTTCTATGTTTAATGAGGCTGCTGCGGTGCTGAAAGGTAAGGCCGCATTCTTTACAGGTGAGAGGCGTGAGCTCGTCCCCGTGTGCGTGAAAATGGCGATGAAGATTGAACATCTCACGCCGGGGGAACCTCTCTCCGCACTCCTTGCACACCAAACGACACTTTTTCTGCTTGGCTGTCGGATCCGTACCCTCCCCTCTGTCTGCCTCCTCGTCGTCTTCAGCTACGTCCTCTATCCCGTCAACATCTCCCATCGGCTCCTCCGCGTCCAGCTGCCTCTTGGTGCCCTTTACATCTCTGGGAGAGCTCCCCACCTCGTCAACTATCTCATCTGCATCATCTGTACTTTCTTCGTCGACATGTGTATCTTGCTGCGCCTCCTCAGCACTTCGCGTTACATTATTGAGGTCTGAAAGGGGAAAGCACATCACACTGACGACTAAGCAAACAGATATAAACAGTGTACAGACAAGAACATGCTCACAAAATAAAACCACAATCACGCCTATCCGTCTCAAATATGCATGAAAATGCATAAAGCATGATGACTGCTATAGTTTGTCCAAAAAAATGATCACAGGCATGGTTGACACTTTGTTATGATAAAATAGTGAGAGATAGCTACAGCTCAGGTTAGCCTTGAGGCT